GGCCATTTATGTACACCCTGACAGGAGCCCTTATAGAAAATGCAGTTTCTGCAGAGAAGTCGCCCCTGCAGAGAGCCAAGGAAAGCCTATCCTCGGGCGAGAAAAGGCTGATCATAAAGGCCTTCCACATAATGTCCACAAAAAGCATTTCGTACAAGGAAAAGGCCCAGCTGTTCCCGCAGGTTCTCAGCCTGATCGGGCACGACGCCATTGAGGTGAAGTGTCTTGCATACTCTTTTGTTCTGCGCTCCCTGCGGAGCGACTCGAGCCTCCTCATCCTGGCCGTCAACACAGTCAAGCAGGAAATAAGCGGAGACCTCGAGTACAGAACACCCCTGCACGCGCTGAAAACATCCCTGGCGTTTGACTTTATATCCAAGGTGAAGGACCCGGAGTTCCTGAACCACTTCTCGTACGAAATTGAAAAAAGCTTCTGCTCGAGCTCCGACATCATCAGAAAGTCCGCCCTCCTGGCAGCGCCTGCTCTGTTTGCCGCGTTCCGGGAGACAAAGACATGCGCAATCCGGCAGGCCCTCGACGAGAAGAGTCCGGTCGTTCTTGGCGCTGCCATTTCTGCGCTTGTCTCCATAGAGAGGCAGGCTGCAGGAACCTTTTCCGAGAGCGACCTGGTGCACTGCTTTAGAGTTCTCTGCAAAAACAGGCAGGGCATTGAAGAGACGCACGGAAACTTCCCCCTTCTCTTTTCGCGCCTGTGCAGGCTGTTGCAGGCCTCTGTCAACTGCAGCCTTCTGGAGACGGCAGCGCTCGTGCTGGAGTTTCTCCCCCTCTGCGCGCTCAAGGAGCTGGCGAGCATGCGCAAGGAGCTGCTCGCGCTTCCGGTCGTGGAGAAGATCGCAAACAGCATGAGCAGCTACATTGGGACGCGCAGCAAGACCGAAGCTCTCGAGTGCATTTTGTTTCTTTTGCAGACACACGCAATAAAGCTGGAAACAGACCCATTTGTCGCAACAAGCGAAGACACGCCAAAGGAGAAGATTCTGAAGATGCACATTCTGTTCCGCATAAACAGCAGCGAGGGCCTCGAGGAGATTGTCTCCAGCCTGCGAGACCGAGACTGCACATACAATGCTGCATGCCTCCTGCTGGAAATGGATGCGCTGCGGGAGGAGGACGTCCGGGAGGGCTTCCGCTGCAGCGAGTCTAGCATGCTGCGAGCGCTCTATACCAAGCACCCGCTCCCAGAAAAACTTTCTCCCACGGTGCGGACTGCACTTGCAAACATGTCAAATGTCTCCGAGAAGGAGGCGTACCTCTTCCTGGCAGGATACTACCTCAGCGAAGTCCCAGACGAGGCGAACCGCATAAAGAGAATCCGAAACGCAGCGCACGGCATACTCTACGGAAAGAAGGAGGAGAGGGAGAAGCCGGAGGAGCACCTGGAGGAGTACCTGTACTTCCTCCTGAACATGTATGTTCGCGGAGTCCTGTCCAAGGAGAGCTGCATCCAGCAGGCAGGATCTGCCTTCTCGGACGAGCAGTTCATGCTGAACAAGTTCATGCACTTGGTCGACCTCCCAGACAAAAAGCACCTCGAGGACGTAATAGCATACAAAAGGGTTTTATACAAAGTGGCCCGCATTCCCTGAACAGCAGATCTCTGCGGCTAAATAAAAGCAAGTGCAAACACCTTTGTCTTCTGCCCGCGGGCTGTTTTCTTTATTCTGGCGTGCAGCCTCTTTCTTTTTTCTCCTTTTCCTCTTCTTCCTTCTGCATGCATGCCATTCTATGGAAAATGTCTCAGCACCAGAGACGACGCGGCAGTGCTCAGAAAGCATGCGCTGCACACATCAGCCCTTCCCGAGCACTGCTGCATGCCTGGCCTGTGCCTTCCTGCAGAAAATCAGCAGAAAATCCTGAAATTTGGCCCCTTCCCGAGCCAGTCGGCCTCTGCCGCAGGCGTGCTCTTGCAAGGCTTTTCACAGTTTGTTTTTCCGCCGTGTGCCACTGTACAGGGCTTTTCGCGCATTTGCCCGGAGCGTGGTCTCGAAAAAACAAATTGAAAAAATTTGGTGCAGGGTGCCTGAAAACGCGGCTGCGGGGGACTTTTTCTTTATTTTTTCGAATTTTGGAGAAATAAAAGTTCCGGAAATTCCCCATTTCCTGCATTTAGCAGGTTTTAGAAGCTTCTGGAAGAAATATATTTCCAAATGCAGGCATTGTCCCAGTATGGTAAATTCTCGTCTATAAATACAGAATGTTTTTTTACATTCAGGCAGGAAGTGTAAGAGACTCCTCACTCCTATACTATATTTACTAGTCGGAGTGTCCGATCACTCGGCACTTCTTGTCCTCACTTGCACGTGGGCCCCGTCCACAGCCCGATAAAGAAATCATCAGCAGCCTGATTGGCTGGCTGCTAGGTGTAAGGAGTTAGTAGGATGCTGCTCCTTTATGTTTTAACCTCTTCTCATCATCACCTTTCTTCCTGCTGCTTCTGGGTGCTTCTGCAAACTACTCTTCTGCACTTGCAAAATAAAGTCGGGGCAGGCAGGCCTTGAGAATGGCGAGAGCAAGCATAGTAGAGGAGCATGGGTTTGCTGTTTCTGGAAAGCCGAGTAGAAAGAGGCCAGAAGAACTGCTATGCGGCTTGCTTTAAGTATGCCTGCGTGTTGTGGGGATTTTCTCGGGTTGCATCTTTCTAGACGGAGACCCTTCTCTCGCCCAGGTACGACTCAAGCCCTAAGAATAAAGCGGTTGAAAGCATAAACCATGCACCAAAGAGAAAAACTGCCCAGCGTTTTAGGTGTCCTTTTTGCCTCAGGTCAAAGACCTTCCCTCCAAACTCAATTGCTGCTACTCCAACAGCGAAGAAATAGAGCGCCCATATGCACAATATGTACAGAAAGTGCAGGGCTTTGTTTAGCCCCGAAATAATGCAGAAGTTAAGGCCAACCGCCTGCACCAGGGCTAGAATGAGCAGCTCAACGTAGAACATGCAGACGCCAAAGTCCTCATGGACCTCAAACCCCCAGAGGCGACGAGTGTATCCTTGGTTCAGAATTTCCAGCATCTTTTGCGCCCCAGCAGCGGTGCACATCAGCAAGAACATGTTATATAGGCAGGAGCCCATGAACTTTCCGTACGACCCAAGCAAGCCCAGGTAGAGCACACTCGCAGAGCCCTTCGCCAAGTTGCTCAGGAGAAGGATGGCAAACATCGTGGTTGCCAGGGGAGTTATAATGTGGTAGGAAGCTAGAAGAAAGACAGAAAATGCTCTGTTTGAAGCGTTGAATATCAGGAAGAGTGGGCACGTGTCTGCATCGTGCGTGCTCGTTCTTGGGCATATGCTGTATTGGTGGTAGAAAGCGACTACGCACGCAGCCTTGACTGGGTGCTGGGGGCGTATGCGCATCGTTCTTGCAACCTCCTCAACCGGCCTTCCTGCGAGGAACCGAAAAAAGCAGAGCTTCTTTGTGTGCCAGTGATTCATTGACTCGTACTTGAGCCGGTCTACAATGTACATGTTTTTGAAGTTTGTGCTAAAATTAATAGAGAATACTGCCCGGATATCACTCTGATTTCACGGGCAAGCGCCAATCTATTGATGCGCCAAGCACAGCCTTGCAGCAGATGCTTCCGTCTTGCGCCCTGTTTTTGCCGCACATGCAGGAGGGCGCTCAACGCCAGAAAATGCATGAAATGCGGCTTTTGGGGTTTCAAGCCTATTACCAGAAATTGCATGCTGAAAAGAGCTCTGTGCGTAGGAAAATATTCAATAAATCGAACTAGTTCTATTACCATAGAAGAGTGTACAAATTTATTTATGGCTGCTTTGTCCGGCTTTGTTCACCAAGGCCAGCCCGGCCACGTGCGGAAAGTGTTCCTGCAGCAAATATATGCTTTTGAAGGTGTACAGCAGCTTGTACGTCTCGGCTGCGGACTCGCCTGACAGTTTGGCCGCCTGCTCAAAAAGTGCGAGGCCTGAGGCGTCGCCAGCGTCTATTCTCGCGTATCCTTGCTGGATAAGAAGTATGCTGTTGTAGGGGTCCAGAGAAACCGCCTGGTCCAGCGCCTGACCTGCAGCCTCTTTCATCCGTAGCGTGTTGTACCCTATGTATCTAAAAAAGGCGCTCCGCGGGGAGTTTGCAAACTCTTTCTGCGCCAAGAGAGAAAGCGTGTTTGTGAGCATGGCGTACTCTTCTCTGCAGCTTGCGCTGGCCTCAATGCCTTCGCTGCTTGCCTTCTTGTCGGTGGACATTATTTCCTCTATCCGCGCAGAAAGCATCTCAACTCCTGCACACAAAAGGTTCACATCCTGCGGAAACAGGGAAAGCGCCTTGTTGAAGGTTTTCTGCGCCTCTTTGTGCTCTCCCATTGTAAACTGCATCTTTATGTTCACTATGAACGGGTGCGAAATAATCTCTTTGTTCTGCATGTCTATGAGGTTGGCCAAGTACTCGCCTGGATACGCCCCCGTCTTCATGCTCATTTGTATAAGATACATCTCTATGATCGGGTCTTTCCTGTTCATAACTTTCAAAAGCTTTTCCTTTTCCACGCCGCCTGCCATGTTGCATACGCTCTGGATGTAAAGAGAGAGAACTTCCCCGAATGGATTGTTCACGAGATCGAAGAGCATGACAGCCTCGCTGTTTTTGCCCTGGATGTGCCGTATGCACCCTGCAACAAACAGGCCCCTGCTCGTGCATTTTTCTCTTGGGGTCGAGTCCAGATGCTTGACCACTGCCATGTAGTCCTTTTCCTCGACCCACTTCAGAAGCCTTCTGTCGGCCTTTGCGGGGCTTCCAAAGCACTCGCTCCACAGCGTCCGGTTGAACCCGCACAGAAGCTCCTCCAGCCTCACGAAGGACACAGAAAAGTCTTCGCTCACCTCTATCTCAGACGCCTTCTGCTGGGACAGCTGCTCTATTTTGCTGCTTAGAACTTTGTCCCACTTGGAAGCCTCCAGCTTCTCCTCCTCGGCAGGCTTTTTGCCCGGGTCCTGCTGCGCGCTTATCGTGCTGGGCTCTGCCTCGCTCTTTCCAGAGACGGCCTTCTTCCGCTCCTTCTGATAGCCAAAGTGCTTCTGGACAATAAGAAACGCATACAAAATGGACAGCCCCTTCGTGCCTCCGTGCCCCTGCCCAAGCTCTTCCAGCATTGCGAGGCGCTTGAAGCTGTTGTAGTGGATAGGCTGAATGCTCAGCACCTTCTCGGCGTATTCCCGTGCCTGCGCATAGTTTTTTGTTATAAAGTGCACCTGCCCTATGTTATTCAGCACCTTGATTTTTGTTTTGGCGACTTCGGTATCTGCACGGTCCCCCATTTCTTCAATAAGGGCAAGAGCTTCGCTGTACTTTTGCAAGGCCTTCTGATAGTCTTTTTCTAAATAGAGGAAATTTCCTTCGTCTTTCAGGCCTTCTGGGGTCACCCGGGCGTATTTGAGGTATTTATACATCCCATAGATAACCGCAGAGATCGCGCTGCTGTATATTATCCACTGCGCAATGTTGTTTCCGCTGGCCGGGTTGGTTTTCATAAAATATTTCAGAAAAATTAGTTTATTTATACGCAGAACATGTCCTATGTAAGAACATGCGGATTAATACTCCATACAGCCTGATTTTTTTCCCTTTCGCATGCACTTGTGCAACTGTTTTCAGGAATGCGCCTGCACGCACCAAGAAGATGCAGCTGTTTTAGGCGCACTTTCGGCCATTCTTGGCCAGTAATCACCAGAGGCTTTTCTGGCAGCGCGCACAGGCTTGGCTAGAAAAGCCCTTTGCAGTACGATCGTGCACCCGACCTGACCAAGACGTTACAATAGTTTGCACGCTGGCTTTGGGCCGCTCAGCAGTGCTATGCGAATTAAACTCCAAAAATTGTCTGGGTGTGTGATCTGGCCTGTAGAGAAGCCTGAGCACTGGATTCGACGGCTTCAGATATATTCTGTCGATGTGCATTTTGTGTATGCGCCTATTCCCCACGAAACACAAAAGAAATAAAACGAAAGTGTACGCTTTTATTTTTCCAAACATGCAAATAATACCCGGCGCAGAGAACTGTAGACTTGTTTACGAAGCTCTGAATTGCAAGCATTTTATACGGGAAAAGGCAAGACACCCCGACAGCTGCACCGCGCACGATTTTAGCAGATTGGGCTAGGACCTGCGCAGTATGTTCTTCCGGGCAAGGCTCAGCAGCCGCGCGTATTTTTTGCAGCCTCCCCCCGTTTTTACTAGCACAGACATGTTTTCTTCTAAGTATTTGCACATACCCTCAGCATTCTGCGGGGTGTACGCAATGTAATGCAAGCTCTTCTTCTCCTTTATATAGATAGACTTCGGGTCGATTGCAGTGTATAGCTCCATCAGTAGAGGCAGCTGCTCGCTCTTGTTTTTAAGTGCAAGGTCAAACCAGAGAATGTCTACCAGGTGCTTTGTAGTGAAGGATGGGTCATCGTTGCTCTCTTTCAAAAGGAGGGCAGACAGCTCTTTGGCGCTTTCTGCAGAGTTATCGAAGAAAAGACACGCAAATATCTTTTCGATGCTGGCGCTGCTGTTTAAAAGATGGCACTTGGCAAGCGGGTCTTTTGTTTTCCTTCTGTATTCTCTGAAGTACGCCATGATGGCGTCTTTTATCCAGGCGCGGCTTTCAGGCAAGCTTTCAGCGAACGTCAAAAAAGAGCCTGCGGAATCCTTGAACAGGCAGCAGTACAACTCAGACGCAACATTTATATTCGGAAACAGGTCTTTTCTAAAGTACCCTGTGAAGATTGCAGCATGCAGCCAGTTGAGCGGAATCTTGCGGCCAGCCAGTAGAAGCCCTGCAGCGTTCGAGAGAAAGCGGACGAACGGGTGCAGTCTGGTGAGCTGCAACTCGTTCTTTTTCGCATAAGCAAAAAATGTCATGGAAACATGCTCAAAGCTGGAGGGGCTTCTTACATGCCGCATCAAAAACAGCTTGTTCAGAGCGGAGTGGTTTTTATTTGCCACTTGCTCAGCTATTTCTTCTACGTCTTTAGTAAAATCTGTGTCCTTGCTTTGTTTGGCAAAGCAGTAGGAAATTCTATCTAAGCAGTGTGCGAAAAGACAGCCTGAAAACGTGCCGCCGCTTCTATATTTGTCTTGCAAGCTCTGAGCTGGCTCGTTTTTTTCGCCAGAGTAATGTATAGCCACGGGCATCGCGCCTATGTTAAACCGCTCGGGCGTAAACTCAATAAACATGCCCTGCGATATGACGCTGTTTTGGCACGTGTACATTAAGACTAGCTTTCCATACAGCTCCGGCCGCCCGTCCCGGCTCATCTCCTTCCAGACGGGGTTTAGGGTCACCTTCAGGCTCTTATTTATAGACAGAGCTGTAAAAAGCTGGCTAATATACGCCTCCAGCTCCGAGCGCAGGCTTTCGCTCAGCGGTCCTGCCATGCGCGCTTTCTCTGCAAGCGTATCCAGAGCCCTGCTTTCTGCAAACAGATTTCCTGTTAAGCACTCAAGCGCGTAAAAAAAGTTCAGAATGCCAAGTCCCAGCTGGACTCTGCTGGGGCAGCAATACGAAACCTTTTGAGTTGGCAAGTACCACACCAGGCTGCACCATTGATTGAAAAAGTTCAGCACCGCATGATCTGTTGTTGCAATTCTCTTTGACGAGTTCAGGATTTTTTTCGCATTCGCCAAGAAGTCATACAGGGTAGCCATGTTTCTGTCTTTGGCAAACTTCTCCAGATTTTTCTCCATGCAGTACCTTTCGGCCATCGGATCGTAGGAAAGGCAGCACAAAAGCATTAGCAAGGCGTTTTCGGCAGAAATAAAGACGGGCCTGCTCTCTTTTCTTTTCCTGGGCGCCTGCTTCTGGAGAACCGCCCACATGTTTAGCAGCTTGTTGTTTGCGTATTTGTAGGAAAACCAGCCTGCGTTGTCGACGGCCTTTTGCACGGTCAGAAACGGCTCTAAGTACTTTTCGCCCTCCTCTTGCCTTTCTTCTGGCAGAAACCACTCGCCCAGCAGCTGCTTCTCTTTGCAGGGCCTGCTTTTACACAAGCTAGCAGAGCACAGATCCTCAAGGAGCCGGTGCACGCATTTAAAGAAAACAGCCATTTCCTCTTTATCCGCAATGCAGTGGTGCCTGTATGCCCGTATAAGAAACTGCGGGCTTTCCAAAAAGCAGCCAGTTTCAAACTCCTCTTTGGTCGTGGGCATTTCGCACATCTTCGTGTACTCCTTAAAGAAGTTGACAATCCGGAAAATTTCGGCTTTTTTCCGCACCTCCATGCCGATCAGGCTTATTTCAAGCGCTGCAGCTTTCCTAGACCAGTCCTGCCACAGAACAAGGCGCTTCTCGCTGACCTCTACGGGAGTGTGCACGCCCTCGCTCAGCAGAAAAAGCGACGCCAGAATGTAGCACTTTTGCTCAACCTGGCACTCTTCTTGGAGGAACTGCGTAAAAAGACTTCTATGTGCTGACTCAATAGGGTTGCCAAAATAATCAACCAACGGAAAAAGCAGTATAAGCACCGTGTAGTACTCGCGGATGTACGAGTCGTGCTCGCTGCCTTCCGCCTCCGCGCATGCAGTAACCTCGCGCGGATACACTTGGTCGGCGTCTCCAGTCCGCGTGCACGCAGAATCCTTTTCCAGGGTCTTGTCTGAGGATATACTGTATAGGTACTCTGTTTTTATATGCAAGGACATGCTTCTTAGACAGCTTATAAAGTTCAGCTGCGCGCATATTTCGTCCTGGAGCGTGCCAAGTGGCGACCAAGGACACACAATTAGCTTTTCAATGCACACTGCAGGGCTGCCATCCACTCGAGCAGCATCAAGAGTGGCGCCTGCCCTCGAAGAATGGAAAAGCAGCCACAAAAACGCATGCAGTTTTATGTAACCCGATAAAAACATTTTTGCACTTTAGGCCTTGCAGATTGCCTTTTATTTTCAATTATAAAATCACCATCACAAATGTCAATGCTCTGAACCATCCCAAAGGCCGAAAACTGTGTCAAATAGTGTGCAACCGCCGGTCCTTCAAAAAGCTGCATGTGTGCGCAGGATCTAAATGCTGGATTCTATGGGCACCGGCAGGGCGCGCGTCTGGCCCAGGGCGTCTGCATAAACAATAGTTGGCGCTGCGGCTGTGCAGCCCTTTGATGCTGGTGATTTTAGTTGGATGCACCGCTGGATTCGGACAACAAATGGGGTTCTTTGCTCAGCCGTGCCTTTTCAAGCGCGGGCCTGCTTGCTTTGGGGCTGTATAAATGCATCCGTCTGCAGCCTTTGATATAGCGTGGCTGGCGTGTAAATAAAGGCTATGGGTTTGGTAACCCTCCCTTCCCCGGGTTGACGTAGTACGCATTATAATAGTCTTCTGCTTCTTTATGCCCTTCCCCTTTTGTGTAGAGGCTTTTGTACCGCATGATTGTTTCGCTGTAGTGTTTGTTCTTTTTTTCTATGGCGTCAAAGTCGATTTTATCTACCTTTGACATTAAGAGGTGGTAGAAGACAAAATATATCCACAGCGAAACCAAGAGAACATGGGCAATAACAAACAGCGCCAGAAACACATTTTTTATAGTGTTATGGGCCTTGGGCATTCGGATGCCCATCTCTTTCTGCGTGGCCTCCTTTCTTTGATCAAACTCCACCGAGGACTCCATCATTTCCAGGCACTGTGCATCGATTCTTGTTTTTGCTGTGGCTTTCAAGGCGTTTATGGCGAAATAATTCTCCATTTCCACGGCCCCATTGCTTCTGCTTGCCACGAGCACATCGTGGGCAGGCATGCTTTGGCTACTACTGCCCGTTTCATTCTCTTCTGCATGGTGCTCTTTTAGTCTGCGCAGTTTTTCCTCTTTCACTGCAATTGCTTCCTCTATTATAAGCTTTAAGCATGCAACTTCTGTCGTGTCAAACTCCTTGCCTGTTCGAAAAAGGCCAATCACTGCCAAGAAAAAGTCTTTGACGGAAATCCACGCCCTTATAATGTATTGCTTTAGTGTTTTTGTTCTTTCTGGGAATATATCAGGCCGATCCTTCCTTAGGTCGATAACCCGACGTGCGAGAGGCGTGATCTCCGTCTGCTGATTTTCATTTGGCAACCTTTTCATACAGGGAAGAATCAAATAAAATATTTTTGCAGTTAACCCGAATCGCATGCTTGCATCCCACCGGCAAGCAGCCTAAATGAAAACTTCTTCTCTTTTTCTGTGCTTAATGACGCCCCGCACCCCTTTCTTTTTTCATCTGCATTAGCAGCTATATTTGCGCTCTATGCGCCATTTCTGAGTAATTTAGAAATATGCAGGCACTGCTCGCGAGCAATGCATACATTTCCTAGCAGGCTCCAGGCAGGACGCGCTTTAGGCAGGCTGCAGTGCGTCAGTACTCTTTGCTCATGTTTATTTCGAACGCAGTCAGCTTTCCTAGCACTCCTGCACTCTTCAAAAGGCTCTTTATAGGCCAGCACACGGACACACTGTCGACAAGAGAGCTGCTCGGGGCGTAGCCAAGGCCAAACATTGGATTCGCGCTCACTTGGCTTTGGCCTTTTGCCTCTTCACGCCGTGCAGTCTGCACGCCCTCTCTGCTAAACACCACTCCTGCAAGAACCGCATAGTCTTCTATTGTGCACTGGACAGCTCCAAGCACCCGGAGAGCGCTGCTTGTCTCCTCTCCCAGCAGGCTTCTTCTAATCGAGCCCTCGGCTTCTCCTAAAAGGTTCACAGAGGGCGCCTTCCAGTGCCTGCTTATGAAAGACCGACTTGCCTTTTTCCTGCCAGAGCCCACGCCCAATTTCTTAAGCAACAGCCCGCACCTAGTCCAGAGCCCAGGCATAGGCACATTCTTTTTCTTGCAGGCAGCGCCCAGGCACAGCACGGGAATAACGCCCCTAAAGTACCCATTCACCCCGAAATTGTATGCGCTTTGGCGCACATGCAGCCCGCTCTCTGGGGTCTTCTCTTTTCCGGACGAGCGGCTGTTCTTGTGGGCTTCTCTGTACACGCCGCCCGAAACTATCACCTTAGCGCTTTTGTGGTCGACTGGATTTGCCACAAGCTCCATCTTGTGCACGTGCTCGGCCTGCTCCTGCTCCGCGCCAAATAGAACTTTCACAGCTCTGTTTATGTTGTACTCCACCTCCAGGCTTCTTCTTGCTTTGCTGATGCACGCACTCAGGTTTAGATAGTTGCACAAAACTGCACTCTTTATGTTTCGGTTAACGCCTGCAAGGACGCCCTCCACCCAGGCACTCGCCGAGGAAGCGCGGCTGCTTTGGATCGCGGAGAACAAAGAGAAGGTCCCCTTTACCTGCAGAAGGTTTGTTTCAAGCTGCACAGAGTTGCACCCCAGCGTGTCAAACAGAAGGTTGTACATGTGCCCGCTATACTTAACCATTTGCTTGTTGTTGCTGAGCGAGGCGCTGATCTTGTGCTGAAATGTGATGCCTTTCAATTTTATGGAGACGGGCACGTCAAACACCCTCCCAAGCAGCCTGCTGTACGTCACATTTTCCAGGCGTATCCCGGGAAGTTGGGCTATCTCCTGTTTCAGCGCGCCAGAGAGCTCCTCCACGCTTCTGTGCGCCCGTAAGCGCGCGCCCAGTGCGTCTTTTATGCTTTTCTGAACATCTCCAAGTATTTGCACTTTCATGCCCGCCGTAAAACAATAAGAGAAATAAAAAGAAGAATCCCGCGAGAACAAATCTGGCATTCGCGCGGCAGCTCCACAGTGCAAATGCGCTCTACATATTCGCCATGCACCCTGTGCCCAGCAGACAGGGCTGCCTGTGCTTTAGAGATCCACACAGGCGGAATGGGCGCGTTTACACATGCATGCACAGCCATATCAGCGCAGATCAACTGTATAGCTTCTTTCTAGAGTGCGGTATGTCTGCTGCTGGAAGCTGCCCTATACATAGTCGCAATATTTTGCGGCCTGGAGAATGCAAAATATAATTAAAGAGCTCGCGTATGCGATACTAAACACAGAGCTGTGCAGCGAAATGAAGCATCTTGGAAAAATAAAGAAAAGAAAGCAAGGAATGGTAAGGATACACTGCAAGATATGCAACACACAGGTAAACAGCGTAGTGTTTACCAAGCACTTGGAAAGGTGCAGCAAGCAGTAGCCTGCGGGGCACAAAAAGCGCAAAACTGGGCTCATCCAAGGCTTGCCTGAAAGCACGCATGCAAAGGGCTTTTATTTGTGCATTTACGTGCGCATGTGCGCCTACGGAATAGAAGCAGCATGCTAAGAGCGCGTTTATTAGGGCCTGTTTTCGCACGCCTGTACTTCGCGCATGCAAGAACCGACTCTCGCTCAAACCACACGCCAGCAGGCATTGCCATAAGCTGCCGCATAAGCTGCTTCATATTCTGGAAAATGCCTGAATTTCCATTGAAATTCCAATTTTTCAGGCAAGCCATCGCCTAAACCGGCTTCACATGCTCGGCTCAAGAGGATTCGAGATCACTTCGCCCGAACTGCTGCAGAATCAGGCCAGAGCGCAGCGGTTTTCCTGGTTTTACACTGATCTGAGCATGCAGTTTTCAAGCCACACACTCGCATGCCCCTCGCAAGGGCGTACCTGCGTTTTCTGGGGCTGCTGCATAGTTCTGATTTTCGCCTATTTTTTGGCGATGCGCAACGGCACAGCTGGAGCGCTGCAATATGCACAGGCCTAGTAATTATAAAAAGAAAATATTTTTGTAGTGGAAATGAAAAAAGAACTTACAGTCAAAAACAAGACGCTTGCTGGAACAAGAAATGCAGCAATAAAGTCATTTTTGGCCCCGTCTGCCTCGTACCTCACTCTGCAGCCCACGCACGTGCTGATACTTTCTATATGTTTTATAATAAACATAATGCTGCTGCACATAATAGGGAGATTTGGGTCGTCAACAGTGCTGCAGGCCATAATTAGCCTGGTTGCCCTGGGAGGCGCAATCGTTCTAGGATATTTAACGCAGAGATAGGCAAAGCGAGGCAAATATACATAAAAGTGTTTTTCATAGTCTGTTGTTTTGTTATGCAAATGATTGGTCTATTATTTGTTTTTAAGTTTTACAAAATTTTACATTATGAATTTCGACAAAACAATGCAGGGAGCTCTAGACACTTTTAAATTGGCAAAAGACTTCAAGAAGGGGAAGGACATCCTTCCGTTCACATATGCGGATTTCTTTGCAGAAAAGAACAATCTACTGGAAAACTTGGGGCTTTCGTGGAAGCAGAGAATTGGCTGCATGCTGATTTCGTCGGTGCTATCGATGTTCTTCTTTTTCAGAACGCTGATGTCTTTACTTTCGGTGGTTTTCTACCCGGAAACGCTGGGGTGGAACTACTCGATGTTCTCAATATTCCTGCTGTGCGCGCTCTGCTTCTTCAGCGGGTTTAAAACATTCTTCAAGAACACTTTTTCGCGGGAAATCGCCGGGTATGCTGTCGCATACACAGTGGCAACAGTCTGCACGCTCTTGTGCAAGGGATGGCCCCGGTTTGTGCGCTACCCCGTTGTCCTCTTTGACGTCAGCGCATTTATTTTGTTTATATACGCATACAGCACACAGAAGCTCAAAAGCGGAATTCGTGGGATAGGAAGCACGCTTTCTATATTTTAATCACCCATTCCCAGCTCCAGAATGCATGCACAATAAACACGCCAAATTTTATAGAAACTCTTTTTTCGTTGAGGGCCTTAAGCGCCGAAACACTTGGCGCAGTAAAGAGTAGCCCCAGTTGCGCTTTGTGCTGCTGGCCCATGCCAAATAGACGCGCAGCACAAGCAGCACTAAATATATTTTCTTATAAATACAAGAATGTTTGAATAAAAAATGGATTACACTTTTAAGAAGCCAACGCTGGAGGCGTACACAATCCTGTTCAGAGTGGAAAAGGGCCAGGAAGAGCCCTCTGTGCTGGAAGAGTATTTGAAGGCCAGAAGCATGACGGGGCTGCTTCGGGAGTATGCGCAAAGGGGGATTCTCTCCTGCCAAGTTGCCCCGGAAGAGGAGGTTGAAATGAACGGGCTTGCAGAGGAGGAGCTTCTGAAGCTGTCGGCAAAGTACTCCTCCGAGGTGGAGTATGCGCTTTTTTTAAAGGCGTCCAGGAGGCTTATGGAGTACAACAAGTCGCTTATGGTTAGATTTGACATATGCACGGCGCAGGCAAGGATGCTGATACTACTGGGACGGAGCGAGGAGCTAGAAAAAAAAATGGGCGAGATCGAGTCAGTGATCGAGCTGGGAATAGACTGGGGAAGAAAGAACAAGTTCAAAGTGTACAAGAGTCTGTACCACATTCTGCGGGGCGAGCACGAAACAGCCTCGGAGCTGCTGATTGACGCGCTCTCCACGTTTGAAGGCGAGGAGCTCATGACGTACTCCGAGCTTGTCAAGTACTGTCTTTTTTGCGGGCTTATGACGCTGTCCAGACAAAGCATCCGCAGCAAGCTGGTTGAGTCCAGCGAGGTGTGCGAAGCTGCCAGATGCATTCCAAGCGCGCTGGACTTGCTGCTCTCTTTGGACAGGTGCGACTACTCTGGGCTCTTCAAGAGCTTGTGCAAGTTTGCCGAGGGCCTCAAGGACAGTGCCTATTTATACGACAAGATAGACTACTTTGTATACAAAATGAAGGTGAGGTCGTACAACCAGCTTTTTATGAGCTACACTGCAATCTCCATCAAGCAGATGTCGTCTATTTTTGGAGTGAGCGAGCAGTACATACTCTGCGATGTTGAAATGATGATCCTGCGCGGAGACATGCGGTGCAAGATAAACCACCAGAACATGATGGTTTACAAGACCCCCGCCGATGTCGCCGATAGAATTGGGGCGCAGGCCGAGGAGATAATTCATACAATACAGAAAATGATAGCAAATGAATAAAAAGACCACCTTTATCCTTTAGGCGCTGTCCCCGCAGAGGCGCATGCGTATTTTCCCAGGGCAGTGAAAAATCTTTTTAAATAGCGCGCAGGAACAGTTTCTCACACGCTGGCCCGAGCACTGCTGCTTTTTCTGCGGAATGGGCATGCATTCCAGAGTGCTGTGCTGCCGTGGGCCTGCAGCAGGCTTTTGGCGTGTACTCGTTTACAGGCGGAAGACCCTCTTCTGCGAGTGCAAGGGGCAGTGCTTCTGGCAAATAAAAAGCCTGCAGGCTATAAAATATTTCAGAGCCTTTAGCAAATCGCAGAAAACCAAAAACACTCCAAGCACACAGAACGCCCTGCAATAGGCCAGATGCAGGCAAGCAGCGCGCCTGGCAGGGCCCGAAGAAGCACGGCCACTGCAAAATGCCAAAACAGCGAGCACACATTTGGCATCCGGCGAAAAATCGCGTGTGCGGATATTTTAGAAAGGAAACACGCCTGGGCAAACTGCGGGCAATTTGCGAAGGTTTTTCTGAAAGGCATCCGTAGCGGTTATGTGCATTTAAAGAAAGTGCAGAATAAAATTTTTAATATGAGCATTGCAGAGCAACTAAAAAAAGTACGTGAGCAGACTACAACTGAAAAAGGGCAGATTTGCCTTTTCAGAGAGTGGAAGGGCGAGCCAGACATTCTCTTCTACGCGCGCGTGGAGGAGGCAAAGGAGCTTTTTTCAATCTATCACGGAAGCTTCTACGAAAGGGTGCAGAGGTACTTCGAGTACTTTACGGATGAGAGGAGCAAAGACTCAAGAAGAGACAGAATGACGGAAAGAGAAAACCACAGCCTTTCAAAGAGAATGAAAACATTTTTGGAAGAGCTGCAGCCGTACATGCACCACGAGTATGCGCAGATTGTCCTTGAATGGCTTATTAGAAGGTACCGAATCGACAAGCAGGAATTTGATCACCTGGCGATCAGCACCATAAGGGTGCCCTGCGTGCAGGACATTTTGTACGAGTCGCTCCGCACCAGCCTTACTGTGGAAAACCCGATGCACGAAATTCTTGCGTGCCACAGCCTGCCGCAGTATATAGGAAAAGCACTGGCCAAGGCGATCGCCCCAAATGTGCACCTGCTGAAAACATTGAAACACATAGAGGAGGACGCAGACACAGTTGGGTTTGTGGTGTTTCTGGAGGCTGTCTCTGGAAGCCTGTTTTCTGCTGAGGGCGTGAAGGAAGAGGTTATAGAAGAGTGGGTGGACTCTGTTCTCGGGTGCAGGAGCAGGCTGCTGCAGAAAAAGGCGACAAGCGCAATACTTGGCCCGCTGGAGTCGATTCTCCTTTGGATCGTGCAGAACCATGACCTCGTGGACGACGTGGCTGCGCAAATCAACGCTTTCAGAAAGAAGGTGGAGGCGCCTGCAGCCGTGCATATAGAGGAGCAGGCGCACAAGTTCATCACGCTGTACGCACATTTTAAGCGCACCGGAGAGAAGAGCATGCTTCTTGCAGAGCATCCGGCAGAGTTTGTGCAGCAGCTGGCGGCGGAGAAGGAGGAAGTGCCGTGCTGGCTGGAAGTGGTGAAAGAGGCAGTCTTTGGGAACCTGCTGCTGCAGGGAAGCGTGCTGCTCTCTCTGTTTTTGGAGAAAACATGGCTGGCACATGCGCTGAGTGCTGACCCAAGGTGGGGGGCGCTTGCGAAAAAGCATCCGACGATATCCACTTTGGTCACACTAGACGAGAAGAAGAACGCAGAAATCTTTACAAAAAAGTTTATGAAATGCTTCTGCGAAATGCTTCCAAATCCGCCCCTGGAAAAGTGGCTGTTCAGAAAAGCCGCACAGACAGAGGAGCTGAAGCTGGCGCTGTCCGTGATTTTGCCCGTTGTTTCCGACAGCACAATCGAGGCAGAGGTCTCCCAAATAGAGACCTGGGAGAAGGCCGTGCTTTTTATCAAGGAGCCCAAAATGCACGTGTTTTTGCAAAACATCAGCAAGGATCTTCTTGTTGGAAACTTCTTGCAGTACGCAAGCGCGATTTCCAAGTTCGAAAACTACACGCCGCTTGTGCAGGAGCTCTCACAGGAGGAAAAAGACGGCTTGCTTGCAGCGTTTAGGAAGAGGCAGGAGAAGAAGAAGCTTTCGGGACAGGAGCTGCTCTTTACCATGCGCGTGTACAATGACTTGGGCGCTCCGATCGAGGCGCTTTTGTCTGTAGGAGAGAAAGTTGCAAAACTCCCAGAGCAGGAAAGAAAGCGCCCTGTCAAGGCGATGCTGGAGCTGTTTGCAGAGAAAGAGGGCGCTGTGAACGGCTCGCGCCTGCTGGACATTGTGCGGAGTGTGGAAAGCGTGGACATAGACACCACGCTCTCGGTGCTCGTGTACAGAGCAATGCTTGCGCTGGAGGCGGCAGAGGCAGGGTCTCTCATTACGAGCGGCCTTCTCTTGCCGGAGACTCTGGAGGCCCGTGTTTTAAGGCTTTTATGCAAAGACAACGCAGAGCTTGTTTCTCGCGTGTTTGCAAAGTGCATGGGCTCTCTTGAGCACAAAGAAGTCATTCAGGTGGCCTCCGCAGGAGTTCACACAGAGCTACTCGTGGCTGGAATCTCCCAGATATTTGAAGAGTTGCCGCAGGACATAAAAATCAAACTGATTCAGGTATCCATCGAGCAGAGACAGAGCGGGGCGCCGCTTCTGTTTGACGAGCTTAAGAAGCGGGTGCTGCCAGAGGAGATTCTTCGCTCGGTTGCAGGCGGAAGCAAGTACTCGGTTGCGCTGGCGCTAGACACGGCAGTGGAAATGGTGGGCGTCGACGCAGAGGCATCAGAGGACAGCGAGGCTGGCTTGGAGGTGAGCCTGCTTCTTCTGAATACCCTGCTATTGGCGAGGAAAATGTCGCTGGGAGAGCACATGCTTCTGAACTGGGAAAGAGGCATATTGCCCATGAAAAACATGCCAACTTTGCTGGCGCGCAAGATGAAAGAGTCCTCTGCGTCCATTGTGAAGGGGCTGGTCTCGCGGTATCTTAAGAAAAACCTGTCTTCAACCGTGCTTCTGCTTGCGCTGGTGCAGGAAAAGGTGGCGGATTCAGCTATGCTTTTGAGCGTTCTGAAGCACAGCCCATCTTCCAAGTCTAGAGTTCTTCTTCTACGAGACACGCTTAGAAGGCCTGGGGCAGACAGCCTTGCCATTGTGCAGAGCGTGCTTCAGGACAGAAAGTCCCCGCTTATTCGATACTATGTGCAGTCAAGGCTGCCTCACATTGTGAAGGCTGTTTTGAGGCACAAAGACACGCATCCTGGCCTCGTGTCGGAGATTATTGGAAACCTGGTCAGGAGAGAAAAGAACGTTATGTATCCGTACGTGGCAGACATGCTAAATCTTATCAAGCAAACCCGAAAGAAGAGCCTTGTCCGCCCCTTGGCTAAGATAGAGCTGCGGCATTTGATTGGAAGCATAGAAAGCAGGAAGGACCTCATGATTCTTAAAGAGTATGTGAGGTACAGGATGGAGAGCCTTGAGGAGGAAGAGGTGGGCCAGCTCGCGTCTTTCTACATAGAAAGAATACACACACGCTCGGGCGCGCAGGCGCTTGTCGAGCTTTTCCCAGCGATTTCGGACAAGCACGCAGTGTGGGTCTCTATACTCAAGCAGCTGGGCGGGTTCACAGAGAAGTTTGTGCACATTCTCCTCAGAGTGTCAAAGTTCGACCGGAAGGGAGAGTGCATGGCATCGCTTTCCTGCGTATACTCCAGACTCGAGAATATTCTTATAGACGCGCTGGAAAGCAGCGCAAATGCAGAAATTCTTACAGTTATGAGGAGGTTCTTTATGCACGAAAAGTCCACGCTGGTGTCTGTTTCGCGCATTCTGGACGCGTCTATGCAGTCTATTGCAGCCTCCAAGAAAGTTCCGGCCCTTGTTTCTGCCCTTTTCTACTCGCAGTCTGTAAACAGTCCGTCTGAGGCAGAAGAGATCAACCATAGAATACTCGTTGACCTGGTCAAGGCCGAAGGCGACAGAAAGGCCGCACTTTTCAGGACACTGGAAAAGGCATACAGCACAAACCCGATCTTTATAACAAGGATTCTTGGGCAGAGCGCGCCATACTTTGCAATTCTCCTGGAGTCCAAGGACAGAGCCACGCGAGAGAAGGCCGAGCACCTTATGAAGCACATTAAGGAAGTCTCAGAAGAAGACCCGTACAGGTTCCTCTGAGATAGTATTAAAAAGAGTTGTTGAATAGTGTTTTCCCACGCGAGGTGGAGTTGTTTTTGTTCTTGTTGGCTGCGCACTGCATAGTTTGATGCACGAGGCTGGGCAGGCAATTAAGATGTTTCTAATGTTGCAACATTGAGTAAATTTTTATGGGCACAAAAGAGCAGAATCTGCAAAAGAAAATCCAGCACTTGCAAGGCATGCTCGGAGAAATCAACAGATACCTGCAGGGCGCCTCCACAAAGCCGCCAGGAATGATATCTAGGCTGCTGGACGAAAAAACCCGAATAACCTCGCAGCTGAGAGATCTGAACAACCTTCTCGTAGGAAACCCGGAAGAGATAGAGAGGGGAGGGGGCAGTTTTTCCTCGGTCTACAGCACGGCAGGGAAAATGGAGAAGGCCCGGGAGTGCCACTACTCAGAGGTCCACTGCAGCGACCCGCTGGACGCAAGAGTGGACATAGAGGACGTTATGCAGGAAATGGGGATCCTGCCAGAGATGGACGAGCAGTCGAAAATAGTTCTTCTAAGCGGGGCAGACATCTTCATAGACAATTTAATATCAACTGCATGCTCTGTGGCCAGAAACAAAAACATGGAGGAGCTCACAAAAGAAGAAATTCTTTTTGCCTTGCAGATGGAAAGAAAAACAACCCTGTACAACAGAGCCGAGTACACAAAGCACCGAGACCCTGACAAAGAGCACACAAAGCGCATGCATATGATAAAGAGAGACCAAAGAAAGAACATGAGCACAGAATAGAGCGCGCAGAAAGAGCGTGCCTCTGCTAGACAGCATGTATTTGGGCTGTGCTCAATAATGTATGGGAACGGCCGAGGACTTGCCCCTCTAAATATAAATAGACAACCAAGATGGAGACAGAGAAGCTGTGCATAACCCCAAAAAATAAATTATTATGCAGGCCAGATAGACCCAATGTTTGCCTGCTGCGCGTGCAGGAGCTGTGCGAAATGGGCTGTATCCGCCCAGGCTTAGACTTAGCGGGCAGCCGGCCTGGCATATGAATAAGAGGCCGGGAGATGCCGATATTAGAAGGTTTTTGTAAAAGAAAAGGCTTTCAGTGGGGCTTGCCCTCGGTCCTGCCAAGCATTGCGGAGGCTCGTGCTTGCAAAAGGCGCGCTCATGTCGAAAAATGGGCGAAAGAAAGGCATTTTGCTAATAGAAAAATCAATCGTGGCTGAAATTGCACAAATTTGCTGAAGTACAGTTTATTTTCTGTCTAAAAAGCTCCTATAATTTAAATCTTTTTAGAATCCTTCTGCTGGGAATTGCTCTTACTTATTCGAGCTCTTTGCAGAATTCGCGGTCTTCCGAGTTCTATTCTTTCTGTTGCTGCTAGAGCCGTTCCTCCCGCACTCTGGACAGTCACTTCTGCCCTGGTTGTTGGCGTTCCTTCTCCTTTCTTCTCTTTCGCAGTCTTTGCAGTCCGTTTTGTTGCTGTTTTTCTTCGTTGTGGTGGTGCGCTTGACCCTCTTTAAAAGCTGGCCGTTTTGTTGGCCTCTGCTTCCGCACTCAGGGCAGTCTGTGTCTACATCGCTTTCATAGTCTTCATCGTACTGGTTGCAGGTACTGCACTCATAGCCGCCTTGGTTGTTTTGGGGTGCCGGCCTTCTTCTTCGCATAGACCTATTTCCATACCTGCCTCTTGATGGGCCTTGCGGTCCATTTTGGTTATATATGTCTTCTGTGGTCGTTGTTTCCATGGAGTTGTTGTTATGGTTATGATGATTGTGGTTGTGGGCTTTCCCACGCCTTCCCCTACGTCCTTGGCGTCTGCCTGAGTTATTTCCGCTGCTGTATATTTCGTCTATGTCCTCAACAGTCGTGCTGTTGCTGCTGTTTGCGTGGTTGTGGTCATGATTGTGATCATGGTCATGGTCGTGGTCATGATCGTGGCCATGGTTATGGTTATGATCGTGGTCATGCTTATGGTTGTGATCGTGGTCATGTTTATGGTCGTGGTTATGGTCATGTTTATGGTCATGATTGTGGTCGTGGCCATGTTTGTGATCGTGATCATGGTTATGGTTATGGTCATGATCATGTTTGTGGTCGTGGTCATGGTCGTGGTCATGGTTGTGGTCATGTTTGTGGTCGTGGTCATGGTTGTGGTCATGGTCGTGGTTGTGTCCATTTCGGCTTTCATTTGGGTTGGTAGAGTTGTTTCTGTTCCCTCGTTTCATCGCATTTGAAGGTCGTCTGCTGTTGTTTTCAGTGTTGTCATCGTCGTTATCATCATTTGAATGGTGGAAGTTCTTTATATTTCTAATTTTCCGCTTGTTAGTTTCCTTGTTTTGCCTGTTTGAATGGTCATCAGTAATACTATTTTGATCACGCATGTTTAACTTGCCACTGTTTCCAGGCATGTTCTCGTCGTCTTTCTGGGGCCTTTGGCCGTTTTTAGGTTTTTTGTGATGTCTGCCTGCCTTTCTGGGGTCTGAGTTGTTGGGATCTGAGTCATCCCTAAGGGCTTCCTCGTTGTCTGGCTTAGTTTCGCGCTTTGATCTCCTTTTAGGCGCACCATAGTGGTTTTCAATGTTTTCGATGTCTTCTTCATTGTGCTTCTCATTTTTGTTAATACTATGGTTGTCATTTCGAACATTGGATTTGTTTAACGACATGTCGTTCTCCAATGGTCTACCGTTCTTGTTTCTCATGTGTTTTGAATCTCTACCATCCTCCAATGGCCTGCCGTTTGGACCTAACCTCTCATCACCCCTCCTGCCTTGCTTCTTGTCATCATCGGCTATCCCACCGTTAGTTAGATTCAATGGATCCCTTTCGGCGCCAGTTCTATCTTTTCGTTGGCCCCTTTCCGTTCCGAATTGGTTCATAGGATCACTCCCCCTTTCTGACCACTCCTTCCTGTTCGGGCCTTCTATTCCCCTACCTTCTTGTTCCCCATTTGAACGCGCATTTATTTCCGATCGGTCTTTTAAACCTGGTCTACGCAATGAATCAAAGCCTGGCGGTTTTCCAGCTTCTCCCGGCCTCTGTGCACTAATAGGGTCAAAGCCTGGCGGTTTTCCAGCTTCTCCCGGTCTCTGTGCACTAATAGGATCAAAGCCAGGCCGATTTCCAGCTTCTCCCGGCCTCTGTGCACTGTCACGGCCAAATCCATGGGGGTTTCCCGCATCTCCGGGCGGGCCGCCTGGATAAGGCACGCCGTTTGCCCCAGGGTGTTCCGCTGCACCTTTTATTGTTTCAAAAAATGCACAGGCTGCTATGCCTATAACTACTGTCTTCTTTAAATATCTGTTCATACTCTAGACTTCGCATGCGTATTTATAGACGCGACACGCCATTTTGATGTGTCCTCTTTTTTTAAGCGAGCAAACAATTGGTGCATTTATTATCATTAGTAGTAAAAGCCGTGCTCCGAGTTTTTTTTCTCAACTATTCGTGCATACGCTGCCTCGAAATCAGCCTGCGCAACAACATACCTTCCATTGCGAACAGCCAGCATACCCGCCTCCTGGCAAATAGAGTTGATATCTGCAGCAGACAGCTTGTCCGAGCGAACTACCAGGTCCTCCAGATCGACCTCTGGGGACAGACTCATTTTATTTGTTATTGTTGTGAAAATCATTCTCTTCTGCCTTCTGTCCGGTACGGGGAACTCGATTTTTCTGTCCAAACGGCCTGGCCTCATAAGGGCAGGGTCTATCGTGTCTGCCCTGTTTGTTGCCATAATGACCTTTACATTTGTGGTTTGGTCGAACCCGTCCATTTGGTTCAGGAGCTCTATAAGCACTCTCTGCACCTCCTTATCCGCGCTTGTAGCAGAGTCGAACCGCGTTGTCGCTATAGAGTCCACCTCGTCAATAAACACAATGGAGGGCGCCTTCTCTATGGCCAGCCGGAAAATATCCCTGACCATCCGAGGGCCTTCTCCCAAATACTTCTGTACAAACTCTGACCCGTTCACGCGAATAAAAGTGGCTTTTGTGTGGTTTGCCACGGCCTTTACAAGCATGGTTTTCCCAGTTCCCGGGGGGCCGTACAGGAGAACCCCTCGGGGCGGCTCTATCCCTATCTGCTGATACAGCGCCAGGTCTGTCAAGGGCAGCTCGATCGCCTCCCGAATTTCCTGCTTCTGGCTGTCCAGCCCTCCGATGTCCGCGTACGTTACGTTCGGCCGGCCTTCCTCGCCCAGCACGGAGAAGGTGTTGTCTGCCTCCGGGGGAAGCACGTCCACGAGCGCGCTGGAGTGCCTGTGCAAGGCCACGCTGGTGTTTGGCTTCAAAAGCTCCCTGTTCACCGTGGAAAGCACTTTTACAATGGAGTTGGTCCCTGCAGTGCTTCCTATAATCGCAGTTTCTGAGTCAATCGATTCCAGGAAGTGCCCCATAATCAACGGCACACTCTTCACCCTCTCTATTGCCTGCTGGGATCGCATAAATTCTTTTTTCAGAGACTTTATTTCCTCCAGTATGTACTTTTCCTTCAAGTTTACCAGCTCCAGCTCTCTTTCCATATCCAGGCAAACTTTGTGTTCGAGAATGCCCTCATCTACTAAATCTTCTGTCTGCATAATAAACAAAATATTAAATTTATTTATACTTTCTTACACCAAAACTGTGTGCACCCAGATTTTGGCCTGGCGCCTCTCCTAAGATTCGGTTCATATATAAGGGGAGAGAATAAATTTTTTATGACAGAAATGCCCATGGAGTTTTCTACATTAGAAGAAAACGCTTCTATTTTACCCGAGACAGGGCATATAGCAGGAGAGAAGAGCGCCCCATTTAAGGGGTCAGTTAAAGAGCGGCTCTCCTGCGGCCTGCTGGGAATTATTCTGTGCTTTATGGACACGCTGACCATAGGAACGATCGGCCTGGGCAGCTGCCCAGACATAGATCTACCCAAATACAGCGAAATTTTCTTTGTAATGGGGCTGCTAGCGTCGCAGCTGACATTTTACATATTTTCTTCGTTCCGCATAGGGATTGTAACTACGCCTATCTCTGAAAACTTTGTGGCGTTTGGAGAGGTCTCAGGCCTCCTGTACACAGAGGGCGGCCTCCGAGGAGCGCAGTTTTTCTGGACTCTTATGGCGTTTATTTCGCTCTCCACTATCCTAACCGGATTCGTGTTTTTCGCTCTTTATGTCACAGGATTCCAGAAAATACTGGCTAAAGTGCCGAAGCAGATAGGGGTTTCGCTTTTTTTTGTCATTGGGGTTTTCTGCTGCATTTACGGAAACGAAAGCATTCTCGGCTTGACCAAGAACGGCAAAAACATCTACACAAGAGAAGGAATTATCCTGGCGTACAACTTTGTGGGCGCAGGCCTATGGTGCGCTGCCAGATACGCAAGCAAGAAGTACCCTAGTTTTGGCCCGTTTTCATACTCGGCAGTTCTGGCGCTGGCCGTTGCTTTGTCGTACATCCCGATATTTCTGGTCTGGGGAGGCATAGACCAAGCCAGGCATGCAAACATCCTGCCTACGCAGACCAAGAGCTTTTTTACGCTTTTTGACCTGCCTCTTATAAAGGAGCTCTCGCCCAGCGCAATTGCGTGGGAGTGGATTTTTTCCGTAAAGATTCTGCTACGGATGCTGGGAGTAATTGCTATTAATTTGGTGCAGTTCCCCATAAACGTATCCGCAATATCCACAGCGTGCAAGACCGAAGCCCACATAAAGAAGGAGCTCCTTGCAAACGGTGTTTCAAACGTGGCCAGCTCAGTGGTTGGAGGGTTTCCAACATACGTGGTGTCCTCCTCGACAATTGCATTCAACAGGAACAAAAGCATAACAGCGCGAAAGGACGGGCTCCTGATGGCGGTGGCCTTTGCTGTGCTCTACATTCTGGGGCAGTCCGTCTTCTCGTACATCCCCCAGATCTGTCTCGACTGCCTTCTCCTGTTCATTGGACTCGACATTATATACGACTCGGGCATGGACATTTGGGGAATGGGATCATACACGATCCTGTTCTCGGTGTGCGTGGTCGTGCCTGCAATATGCCTTAAAAACATCCCGGTTGGCATGGGAATAGGAATGCTCATATCGATTGCTCGCCACTTATACAGAAAGTATCACGCAAGCAGAACTCAAGTATAGATTCTGTGGTGAGATTCCTGTCTATTATACAGCCAGGGCAGGCCTAACGGCGGATAAGCATGGCAAATTTAGAAAATAAAAAGCAGAAATAAATACGCACAGATATCTTGCAGTGCACGACAAAACACTGCATTTAAAGGCATAAAATATTTGCATGTTAATTTTATTTTCATGTCGGCCAGAAGCAAAGTGTTGTACAGTTTAGTGGGTACGCGAGGCGGCGTGGTTCTAGGAGAGCTTGGAAGCAGGCCTGTGTACTTGGAGGCTTTTTTGCAGAAGATACAGCCTTCCTCCACAGTGAAAACAGTCAAGGTTCGGAACGACTATATTGCGTACTCGTTTGGGCCCTGCAACATATACCTGGCCATGTACAGGGAAATAGAGGCGGAGCAGGAGGTGGAAGGCGAAGTTGAGGCAGCGAAGGAAAAAATAGAAAACACGCCAGGCGCGAAGGAGCTGCACGGCGTGTTCAAGGCCCTCGGAGAGTGTGCGAGCGAGAGCGAGAATGCGGAGGAGGAAGAGGCTGCAGAGCCTGACTCAGACCCTGAGGAGGAGCCTGCCAACTGGAGCCGGTGGAAAAAGGCAGGGAGCATTATGAAGCTGTTTTCGCGGAGGGAGGACATTACGGAGAAGAGCGTGCACGACCATCTCATTGGCAGGAATGTGCCAAACACGCTCAGCCGCAAAATATCCAGGGATATCATGGCAGTGCTCAAGAACGAGTGTGCTGACAGCCCGCAAACAGCAGAGAGTGTGCGGAGCAGCTTTAGAAAGGTAATATCCGAAATAGTGCCCACAATGTCTCCAGAGAGCATAATCAGCGAGATAGAAGCCCACAGAAAAAGCGCCAAGACGCCGTATGTCTTTTGCATGGTTGGCGTGAACGGGGTGGGAAAGTCCACGACGCTGTCCAAGCTTTGCCTGTGGATACTTAAGAACAAGTACAAAATATGCGTGGCAGCGTGCGACGGCTTCAGAAGCGGCGCAATCGAGCAGCTGAAGAAGTATGTGGACAGATACCAGGCAAGGGGGCATGCGATCTCCTTGTACGAAAAGGGGTACAAGAAAGACGAGGCTTCGATCGCGAGCAAGGCCATTTCGCACGCTCTGGAACACCACTTTGACGTGGTTTTAATCGACACGTGCGGCCGCATGCCTGGAAACACGCAGTCCATGATGTCGCTGACCAAGCTGATTCGGGTGAACAAGCCAAACAAAATATTCTACGTGGGCGAGGCATTGGTTGGAAACGACTCAATCCAGCAAATCCAAGGGTTCAACGAGTACATAGAGAGAGCGTGCGTGAACAAGTCTGTTGATGGAATTATTGTGACAAAGTGCGACACTGTAGACGACAAGATAGGAACCATAGTCAGCCTGGCACACACAGTGGACAAGCCCATTGCCTTCATAGGCGTGGGGCAGAAAAACGTCGACCTTCTGCCGTTTGACATAGACAGCCTGTGCGAGTCTCTATACATCTAGCGGGCAGCCGGGCCCTTGCCAGACAGCGAAGAGCATATGCAGCTGCTGATGGCACACCACCAATAAATATGCTTTATTCAGCTGCGGAAAAAGTGTAATAGAAGGCCGTTCGGCGTTGTTCGTGGCAAGCCTCGAGACAGCTCTGCAGCCCCTTGTGTGCACCCGCCCAGAATCCCACTTTTCAGCGCTTTCCAGAGGGCCAGGCCATCTTTCCGTTAGGTTTAAGCCCGGGCTGCACGGATTCATTTGTGGAATAGGCTGAACAGCTAGGCTCTGTGCGGCTGCAGGATGTTAACAGTGTGCTTGCATGTGTTTTCGCAGAAAGAGGATTTAGTTAGAGGTGTGCTTTATTCTAAAGACATTTCGTACGTTTCTGCTCTGACAAGAGATGTGTGGCCCACAAAGAGGCGGAGCGTTACTCGCACAGTTTTTTCGTCTGTCAAGTTGTTGGAAATCAGCTCTCTAACACTCTCAAGTGGAATGGCCATATCCACGCAAATATTTCTAATGCAGCTGTCGGGAACGACTTGCGCATGAATAGGCCTTCCGTTTATAGAAATAGAAACGACAGCGGTGTCGTCGTTTTTAATTGAAACATCTATGCCAGACCCGCCGCTTATAACGTACGGGTCCATGTATGTGTTAGGACTCCTTGAAATTGTGCACTTGAAGTACATATTCTCCTTGTCCTTCTCCAGCTTTTCCAGCTTCTGGTATATAAATAGGTCAGTGTCGTCCTCAAACACAGCATCTGGGTTAATATTTGCCGACACGTTTTTTATGAAGAAGCCCTCTTCCTTGGGGCTCTGCTGCGGCCCGTTGGCGGATACCTGCAGGGTCTGCATGAGGTTCTTGTGGAAAACCTGCGCAGACTGCTCCTCCGTTATGAAAGGAAGCTCTCTCCTTATGATTCCTGTCCGCATGCGCACAATAGACACAAAATAATCGTCGTTTATGTCTTCATAGTTCAGCGGAAGAATGCTGTTAAACAGCCGCACAACAGAGTCGCCCACTGTGTGGTGGATGTCTTCGTTTATGTTGTCTGCAAAGTACTGCCCGAGTATAAAAAAGTTATAGTAGTACTTTCTGTAATACTCCAGCATATTCGACTGCGCAGCCTTGTATAGCGCATCCACCTTGGCTACTAGTTTTTCGCCCTCTGTTTTGAGGTTGAAAACGTTTTGCAAGAAGGACGGCTTTACCTTCGACGGGGTGTGCTTCGCGTTTTTGGCGTCGCTCAGATTTTTCTTCAGCTTTTCTTCTTCTGGCATGTATCTGCTGCGGCTGTTTGCCGACGGGAAGTACTGCAGAATGCTCTTCAGCCCGGCCTTTTCTTCTTCTGTGAATCTGGCGCTAACCGCCCCTATTTCCCGGATTTTGCTCTGCAGCTCGTTTTCAAAAGACCCAATGGGCTTGCACGCCTGGTCCCGCGTGTATTTCTCCAGGGGGTTGTACGTCTTGTACGAGCTGTTTTTGCATATTTCTGTCTGAATAAATGCGCCGTTGTCGTTTAGCTGCGAAAACACCCCCATCTGGTCGCAGTACAGATCGAAGAACTTCTGGTAGAAGTTTCCTCTGTGCACGGCATTTACAGCGAGCGGCACGTCCAAAAGTTCTTCTCCCATGTACGGCCTAATCCCGTAGTGTGTGATGGAGAATGTCTTGGCCGAGGCCATGTCCTTTCCATGCGTGTCGAAAAGCATGTACCCGTATGCTCCAAACAGCGCTACAGATACGTTTACAAAAACCCCGTACAAAATTGTCAGCGAGTTTCCCACAAGCACTTTGTCTGATTTGAGGAGCATATCCTTGGGCACGGGCCTAGGCACGCTTTCCAGGCCTGTCTTAGTAGAGCCTCCGAGCACACTAGGCAGCATCCAGCCAAATGTGTTTTTTATCTGCGGCCAGATCCTGTGTCTTAACCCATGAGAAGATTTCTGTGCTGAGGCATTTACAACCACATCCCTCTCTATCATCACGAAGTTTATAATCCTAGACTTTAGATATCCCAAAAAATTCGTGCAGGTTTTCCATGCATAATAAAGGGATCTTATGCTTCTTAAAACGGAGCCGACAGCCTTCACCCCCTTGGAGCCCATTTGTATCGAAAGCCTCACCACGGCCTTTATTGTGGTTTCCACTATAAAGTCAGCCCAAAAAACAACATTGTAGATGTATACTAGAATTGTGCTGAAAATGCTTCGGGAGGTCGACATGTCTGTCGGGTCAATGCCGGCCGACTCTAGCAAATACTTCGCCAAATTTAGAGGCCTCAGGTATCCAATGTACTCGTTAAAAAAGGCATACACCCCGTTAAGCACGCTGGCGACCAGCTGGGATATTGACAGGAAGATGGGGGAGCCTTTGCTCACTCTAACTTTTATGTGGCGCATGGCCCACGGGTTATTACTGTACCACGCAATGAAATGTATTCCCACCAGCCAAATCACCCCGAAAACCACGAGGGCCTTTGTTATTTTGACCATTAAAGTCGTGATGCTCCGGACCTTCTTTATGCTGTAAAACTTTCTGACCAGATTTTCGATTTTCAACACAAACGGTATTTTGTAGATTGTCTTCTTCAGGTGCGAGTAGTTTATAAGGACGGTCAGAGCCAGCGGGATCACAATAAAGGACAGGGGAGTGTATATAAATGCGCCCAGCAGCATGCTTATAAGAACAAAATAGTGGCCAAGCATTGATGCGCTGCTGTTTTTAACAATCGACTCCACTCGGATAGACCCCAGGATAGCCAGCGATGTCCCCAAAGCCGCCAGAAGCGTAATCATGCTCTGCGGCATGGCAGGCCCGGTCGCTATAAAGACGCCAACAATGCCCACGGCAACTATGGAAAGCGTGTATTTTAGCACTCCATTGCCTCTTATCATAAGAGCACTTCCCACAGCAAGCGCAATGGTTAGGGGGCTCCCGCCAACTGCCCCAATCACTGCAATTCCCATGATGCCCAGCATGGTTTCCAGCATCGCCACTTCGTTCTTCTGCTTTGCGGTATACACGCTGGGCGAGCTGTACACGTACGAAATAACCTTTAATGCAATCAAAGTGATTCCCATGGTCAGCATAGCGTAGTCCAAAACTGCATCCCCTGTGATGGCTTTACTCAGAGCCCGCCCTCGGGCTGTAAATGAAAACATAGCCCCAACAGCGACAAGAGATAGATCAAGCCCTATAACAGGAAGTCTAAATCCATTTAGAGCACGTTCTTTTAATTTTCCATTCTCCATTGATGCAAAAATAAAATTTTATTTTTATGCTGCACAAATCTCTCCTGTTTTTTGCATCTACTGGCCAAAATTGCCCGAATAAACGCCCCGGGTGGCACGCCATGCCCACCCCCACGCGGTATACAGGCATTCCCTTCGCACTTTTTGCCAAATCTTGCAGGTATTTTCATCCCATCAAAAACTGATCGGTACTGATATAAAACGAAAACACGAGAGCTCTGGGCTGGGCATATGCCTGCGCTAAGCATGTCGAAGTGCAGGCCAAAAGCACCAAAGATCTACAAAAATTGAGTTTATTGCGTCAAACTATGCATTTACGCGCACGCCCGCGGGCTGTGCCAGGCCAAGCAGGTTGAACTGGTACGCAGCCAGAGAAAGCACACAAAGTGCGCCTGTAAGGATGCCCGTGGCTGTGACCTTGTACTTGGAAGGAACCAGCGCCTTCTTGTAGAAAAAGTGTATTTCATACTCCAGGAGCGAGCACAGCGCAATCACTCCGGGAGCAACCGAGACAATCGTGCTCAGCAAACTCCCTGGGCACGCCTCGCTCAGACAGTACATGGCCAAGTGGCAGAGAGCAACAAGCGGATACTCAAGCGGGGGCGTGAGAGTGTTTGTTATTGCAAAGGACATCCAGGGGTTTCCCAGCGCCGTCCCAGGAATCACCAGAAGCAAAAAGAGCAGAACAGAAATTACATTCTGCTCGACCGATTTTGTTTTTGTGTTTTTTCTGTCGATGTAGTCGTCCCACATCAGAACAGTGAAGAAAACAGAGGCGAACAAGCAGAGAATGTTCCAGAAGCAAACAATGTTGTTTTTGTGCAGGTCTTCCAGTATGTCATAGCAGTACGTGATGGAAATGGTGAGCATAGTTATGTACACGGCCAGCTTCAGAAAACCTGCAAGGATCCTGTACGTCGAAAAAAACCCCTTCTTCTCAAAGACGAACTCCTTCAAGCGGGTTCCGCTGCCTGAAGGGTCCGCTCTTGCCTTTAACTCTTCGCTGTCAGCTGCACCCGGGTAGTGGACCGGCATGTGAATCATACTCTCTGCTATTTCAAAAGACTAAATAGACATGCGCACATAAGTCCGCATCCGAGCAAATTAAATAAAAGCGGTCCATTGCAAACCGATGCAGCTATTTTCAGACCCTGCGAGTCCATTTTAAAATTGCACGCCAAAAGCCCTCACAAAGCACAGCCTTTTATTATTAGATGATGTCTGCTGCACTGGCTATTTCTATTGCGCTGTGCTGTCTTCCAAAAATAGCGTATGCTCTCTTCTCCCCCTTGAAGGTAATTGCGGTGTTCACTTTTCGCGGAGTTACTGAGTATAGCTGCTCGATTGCCTTCTTTATCTCGGGCTTGGTGGCACGGAGGTCGCACACAAAAACAATTGTGTTCGCCTTCTCCATAAGCTTCATGGCCTTCTCGGATTTGGCTGCGCACTTGATTATGTCCTGCGCTAGTCTGGGCTTGATCTGCTTCAGACGCTCTTCTGGCGTAAGAGGCTTTGGCGTTTTAAGTTCCCTTTCTGTTAATTCTATTGATTTCTTGTACTGCTTCTTGGACATCCGGGGTAAAAAAAAGAAATATATTTTTATGCAAAGAAGCCCTTCCCCACAGCCCACCGCCAGAAGCCGCCGCCTGCCAGGAAAAGACACAGAAAAGACACTCCCGAATAAACTCAATACTTCACTACTTCAGTACATCAATAAGTCCAAATCACTCCAATAAGTTCGAATATCCCAAAAATAGAAAATACAGCAGCCCCTGCTCCTGCTGTGACAGAGTGAAAACCACACTTTTCAACGCTTCCAGCCCTTTCTTCCCCTGATTTCCTGCTTCCCCGAATTTTCCTGCTTTATTCCCTGCACACCCAACAAAAAACCCCCGAAATTTGTTTTTAACTTTTCTGTGTCGGGCACATTCGCCCCGCGTGCAGAAAGTCCTTGGCATGTGCTGCGCACGCTGTGAGCCTGGGATTATGGTGTGTGTGGGCTTCCATGGCGTAGTTGGTTATCGCGTTCGGCTGTTAACCGAAAGGTCGTTGGTTCGAATCCGACTGGAAGCGTATTTTTGTGCTTTTGATTTTTTTATCGCCCATGACGGAAACATTCCAGAAAATAGAGAAAATAGGCGAGGGCACGTACGGAGTTGTCTACAAAGCCAAGGAAAAAACAACAGGGAAGATCATAGCGCTCAAAAAAGTCCGCCTCAGAGACGACAGAGAGGGCGTGCCTGCCACGACCATCCGAGAAATCTCCCTGCTCAAAGATATTAAGCACCCAAACATAATAGCACTCCAGCAGGTCGTGTACACGGAAAGCAAGCTGTACTTGGTCTTTGAGTACGCCGAGACAGACTTGAAAAAGTACCTGGACACGCTCCGGAGGGAGAAAAGGCCGCTTGCATGGGCGCAAATAAAGTCCTTCGCGCACCAGCTTACGTCCGCCCTCGCGTACTGCCACTCTGTCGGCGTTCTCCACAGGGACTTAAAGCCGCAGAACATCCTCATAACAGAGGACAACCAAATAAAACTTGCAGACTTCGGGCTGGGGAGAAGCATAGGAATACCCCTGCACACGCTCACAAACGAAGTTGTCACGCTCTGGTACAGGGCTCCGGAAATCCTGCTCGGCGCAAAAAACTACTCGATGGCGGTCGACGTCTGGTCCCTTGGGTGCATCATAGCTGAACTCGTGCTTCTGCGGCCTCTTTTTCCGGGCGACTCTGAAATAGACCAAATATACAAAATATTCCAGAGCCTGGGCACGCCGAACGAGTCCGTGTGGGCAGGCGTGACCGCCCTGAAGAACTTCCAGCCAGAGTTTCCCGTGTGGAAGAAGGGGAGCGTGCAGCTCGCTGATAAAGAGTGCCAGTGCCTGGTGAACGACATCCTTGTGTATAATCCCATAGATAGGCCGTCAGCAAAGCGGCTCCTGGCGCACAAATACTTCCAGAAGTGAGGGCAGGCGTGGGCTTGGCATTGAACTGCGTGCGCCCTGCAATTTTGCTGCAGCTTTCTTCAAGCAGGCTTTTTCTGGGAGGAAAGCGTCCGCACGGAAACACAAACAACGCGTAGATTTCGCTGTCCGAGGCTTTGCGGGGCTTGGGCGCTGTAAAATAAGCTCTGAAAATAAAGGACAAAGCGCATAAATTTAGACGAAAACTTTTCAGAATGTCGGGGATAGGAAAGCTAAAGATAAAAGGAATCCGGGCATTTACGGAGGAGCACGCTGCAACCATAGAGATGCAGAACCCGCTAACTTTGATAGTGGGCCACAATGGAACCGGGAAAACAACTATAGTTGAGGCGCTGAAGTATGCGACTACAGGGTCGCTGCCGCCAAACAGCCGGAACGGGGCTTTTGTGCACGACCCGAGGGTGTCGCAGGAGGTGGAGACGAAGGCCCAGATAATGATGAAGTTTACATCGTGCGAGGGAAAGCAGTATGTGGTTGTGCGAGGGATGTCGCAAACCGTGGGAAAAGTAAAAAGAGAAACCAAAACCGTGGAGAGCGTTCTGTGGGAGGTCGACAGCGGGGAAAAAAGAATGATCTGCAACAAGCTGTCAGAGGTCGACAGTGAGGTGCCTTTTCTTCTGGGGACAACGCCTGCAGTTCTAGAGAGCGTTATATTTGTGCACCAGGAGGAGTCTGCCTGGCCCTTTGGAGACGCCACGGTGCTGAAGAAGAAAATGGACGCGATATTCTCGTCCTCAAAGTTTGTGAAGGCTATAGAGTCGCTCACGGTGCTGAAAAAAGAGAAGGCCGGGGAGGTGAAGCTGCTGGCCTGCAAGTACGAGGCGCTCCAGCTGAAGACGCAGAACAAGCACGTCATTGAGCAGAGGATTGCGCGGAGTGTGGGCCGGCTAGAAACGGTGCGGGACATCTCGGAAAAGGCAAAGGAGCGGATGGACCGCGCGCAAATAGACCTGAGAGAAGCCCAGAAAAGGTACGAGCACTCGCTGTGCAGGCTGCGAGAGAAAGAGAAGGCGCAGTCTGAGCTGCACGGGCTTTCCACAAAGAAGCTTATACCTGGGACTGTTGAGGAGCTGGAGGCTCTGCTGCCGGGCGCATGCCTGGAAGAGGCAGAGGAGCTGAAGCAGGAGGGGAGCATTCTAGAGGTGGAGCATCAGGACGTGCTGGAGAAGATCCGGCGGCTTGAGGACCTGAGGTGCGCCTTTGAGCAGAGCAAGACAGAGGCGCACGCCCTGCGCCTGGAGAAGGAGAGAAAAACTTCCGAGCTAAAAGGGGCGCTTTCTCAGAGCCGGCAGGCGATGGACAGAATGTGCGTGTCCATGCAGGAGATTATGCACTCTATGAAAAGCGAGCTGCAGAGCGAGCCTGAAGAAGAGCTCAGGCCCGAGCAGAGGGGTGAGCTGGACAGCGAGATAAACAGCCTGGCAGAGAGGGTAGACCTCTTCGCAGAGACGAACCGAAGGCTCACCATGGAGGACGGGCCTGTTGAAAGCGCGCTGGAGGTGGAAGCAATTGTGGACGATGAGGTGCACGTTTCAGATGGCATGAAGTCTCTGGCAGAGGACGTGGACCGGATGCTGGACCAGAAAATGCACCGAAAGGAAACGTCCGTGCGGAGGAAAACCGAGCAGGTCGGCGCCCTAAAGGAAAAGCGCAGAGGCATTGCAAAGCGGCTGGAGGAGCTGCAGTGCATACTGGACGACAGCAGAAACGAGCAGGAGTCTTCGTTTATAGCAGAAATCCAGGAGAACGAAAACATAATAGGCCGCCCGTACGTGAAGAAGCCGCTGGGCAAGGAGCGGCTTTTCCAGGAAATAGAAGAGGCGCAGAAAGAGCTGGAGCACGCCCTAAAAGAGGCCGAGAAGAGAAAGGAAAAGGAGTTCCTCCTGGAAGAAATAGAAAGAAGGCAACGGGAAATAGAGTATGCGCCCTGCCCTGTGGACATAAAGGGAGAGATGAGCTACGAAAGCGTGGTGGAGGCGGAGGAGGCCGTGGAGAAGAAGATGCTGGCCTTGGATGCAAGGATACAGGAGATGCAAAGACGGCAGAAAACTGCAATAGACAGCAGGCTGAAGGCCGACTCACAGCGCCTTGTGGGCGCGCTCATGGCGCAGCAGAAGACAAAAAAGATAGAGGAAATTTTAAAAGGCGTAACAGGCGAGATAAAATCTGGAGGCTCTGCAATCACAAAGTCTGAAATTCTGGAAAAAGTAAAGGAGGGCGTGAAGCTGGACCTTGCATGCAACGAGGAACAAGACGTGCTCTACGAGCTGGGCGAGGAGTGGGGCGGAATATCTGCATCCGAGCGAATATACGAGGAGTTTCTTAGCAGGGCGCAGGAGGGGTGTCCGTTCTGCAAGTCTTTTATCAGCACGGGCGTGTCAAAGGGGCAGGTGCAAAAAATCCAGGGCATTCTTGAGTGCATACGGAGGAAAAAAGAGGAAATTCAAAGGGAAATCCAGAGCGAGCAGGAGAAAGCAAAGACGAAGAGGCACCAAGCAATCCTGCGCGCGCTGATGAACGAGCTGTCTGCGATGCTGTGTGACGAGCATGTTGGCGCGCGCACAGAGGAGGCTGACGGGAGCCAAGTCCTTGAAGAGTGGGCGATTCTTCTGGAGCGCCTGGGCAAGCAGCTGCAGTCCATACGGGACATAAAGAGCAAGTACGTGGAGATAGAGGCCCTGCGCGCGCGAGAGGAGAAGATTCGGATAGTGCACGAGGACTACAGCACTGCGAGCGCGCGATACAAGAAGAAGCTGGAGGAGCTGCAGGACGTGGAGCGGGAGGAGCAGAGAGAGCTGGAAAACCACAATGCCTGGGAGCTCAGAAAGGAGCAGTCCAGAGAGCGAATACAGGAGATAGAAAGGCAGCTGCAGCAGAGGAATAAGCACAGAAAAGAGGCTGCCCTTCTCGAAAAAGAGTGCGCGTGCTTGGAGGGGGAGAAAAAGGCCACAGACGCCCTCCTGCAAAAAAGAGTGGAGGAAATAGAAAAAAGCATGTGGCAAAAGAGCATGTGCTACAAAGCAAAGGAGGCCATCAAAGCGTTCAAATCGACAAATGCACAGATAGTCGATATTACGACAGCAAAGGGAAAGATTGTAGAGATATTTGCCCGGCTTGAGGCCTTGTCCAGGCATGTGTACACGGAGGCACACAGGAAAACCGAAGTGCAGCTGAAAAACCAGCTCATCGAGATAGAAGAAAAAAAGTCTATTATTTTCCGAAAGATATCGGCTGTGACAGAGGCACACAACCACAGACAGCTGGTGAAGGACTCCATACGCGCCAGCGTGCTGGAGCGCCACATTGCAGAGTGCCATGTCACGCAGGACACGCTTGCCTGCCTGCAGAAGGACACAGAGAAAATAGAGGCTGCCTTGATGAAGGACCAGAAAACAATCTCGGAGTGTGCAGGAGAGAGACACAATCTGCAAAAGCAGAAGGAGGAGGACGAGGCTGATGTAAAGATACACGCAAGCGCAGAGGCTGACGAGCTGTCTGCCTTCATAACCATGAAGGTGCTGCAGGACAGCATTCTAGACCTGGAAAAGTACATAAAGGGAGTTCAGGCTGCAATTGTGCGGTACCACTCGGAGAAGCTTGCTGAGGTAAATGCCATCATAAAGGAGATTTGGAGCATAGCATACAAAGGCTCCGACATAGACGAAATGAAAATAGTCTCGTACCTGGACAAGACATACAGCCTGGTCATGGTCAAGAACGGCGTGGAAATAGACATGAAGGGCCGAGTGAGCGCAGGACAGAAGGTTCTCGCGTCGATAGTTATTCGGCTGGCGCTTGCAGAGGCGTTCAGCCTAAACTGCGGGTTTTTGTCGCTTGACGAGCCAACCACTAACCTAGACAAGGCAAACATAGCAGGCCTGGCCAGGGCTCTTTCATCGATCATTCGAGCAAGAAAGGCTGAGGGAAACTTTCAGCTGCTTGTGATCACGCACGATGAAGAGTTTGTCCGGGAGCTGCTCTCCACCGAATGCACAGAGTACTTCTATAGACTGGAAAGAGACGTTTCCGGGACGCCCAAGATAGTACAGCTTTCCATATACGACATATAGCGCGCTGCGCATGCTCAAGCCGCAGGCCTATGCATTGCTAGTAAAAATAAAGGCATAAGCTTTCGGTAAAAAAAGAAGCCTTCATGCGAATAATTGTGCAGGCAAGCACTTGCAGCTGCAAATTTGAAGTTTTTAACATAGTACGCTTTTATTTGCAACACCATCTCAGAAGCATGCTTTTGGGCTGTTCGGCCTTTATTTTGCATGAAGTGGCTGAACTCCGGTGCTTGTGCGCCTCGCCCTCCTATAGCACATCCCCAAGAAACTAGCACAAGAAAAGGCCCACTGCCCTATAGATTCATGCGCAGCATTCTGGGCCTGCGGATGGCCGTTTGCATGCAGGCGCCCACATTTCTACACGCTTCCACAGCCTACGCCCTTTAAGAAGATGCTCTCAGTGCTCTGCTTGGAGCCAATGGCACGCTGCAATACCCACCTGCGGCAGAGATTCTGACATGTAGGAACTGTGTGGAGAAAGCTCGCGCATATACAGCTGTCTAAAGACATCTGCTATTCTTGGCGTACGCCCGTAGTGTTATTTGAAGCTCTAAAAAGTTCTAGTAGAAAAATATTGTTGTTATTTAAGTGATCTACATGCATCCTATGCGAAAAGTGCTGCTGTTTTCGTGCCTATTAATTCGCATCTGATACGCAAACTGGCGTGCGCCAGGAGTGCCCAGCTCCATGTTTGCTTCGAAAATGCAAATGCAAAGAATGGAGAAGTAAATTTCACGAGAGATACTCACGCACGCCTGGCCAAATATTTAGTGTCTTTTATGCGCGCATAAAGCTCAAAGCACGCGTGAGCTGCGTGTTCTTGCGCCTTCAAAGCTCGGCATTTGCTTCAGCTCTAAAGCCCTGGGAGGCAGCGGCTTTCCTTTGCAGCCAGCAGCACCGTCCCAATGCGCTCCGGCACAGCCTTGCATGGCTCTTGTTTTTACTGGGAGTTTACTGCATCTGTCCCCATCTGAAGGTCTGTGTGGTTTTTACTTTTTTAACTCCCTCTGGATTGAACTCCATGCCGGTGTTTTTCTCTGGGGCGTCTTCCTGCACATTTTTCTCTGGAAAAAGAAGCGCCTCTTCTACTACATGGTGGCTCGATATTTCGCTTATTTCATCTGCAATGCTGTTGCTGGACATAAACTCCTCGCTTTCTGTACATGTGCTGTCGTGCGAGCTCTCTCCGGATGACTCTTCGCTGTCGTCTACAACCAGCTTGCTTGTTCTTTGTGAGCTGCACCTCTCCTGCGTGTCTTCACGCCTTTCCCCCTCCTCTGCATGGCCGGTGCTCTCCGCCTCCATGCCCTCCATCGACTGCGTAAACAAGCCCTCTATGCTTAAGTCTGGCGCGCCTATAAACGAGTCGTCGCCCTTCTCCGGAGCAGTTTCTTTCTCCACGCTGCCCTCTCTTTCGTGCAGAGCAGCGCCTATCTCTATTTTCTTCCCCTTCAGCGCAGAAAGCTTCTTTTTTACTTTGTCCACTGCGTCCTCCATGCTTAGCGTTTTTCTAAGCTGGGCCCACACCACGCTGTATCTCTGGAGCGCCTCCTTCTTTGTGTACTCCATGAACTCCTTCGATGCACTGCTGTTATATTCGGACATCTTGAAAAATTTAATGCAAAGCAACTTCTTTATGCACCAAAGGCTTCTCGAGGAGCTGGGGATTTCGTACGAGTCGCCGTACAACAGAAAAAGCAAAATGGGAGAGAAAGAGAAAAAGAGCCTGCAAAAAGACTACTCTTTCTTCCTAGACGAGCTAATAGGCATTCCTGCAAATGCGCCGTATGTCCACGACTACAGCGAGGCCCCTCCAGTGCTCACGATAGGCGAGGTGGAGGAAATAGTGAGCGCCTTTGAGGTAAACACAAGCGCGCTAAACAGCAAGAGCACAGGCGCCATGCCCCGAGACGCTTTTGCGCAGGGAGAGAAGAAAGAAACAGTAAAGTGTGCAAACTGCGCGCTTATGAAGAACAGCACAAAGCCCCAGCAGCCTGCACAGCCCAGCAATCTGTCGGACTTTTCTTCTGCGAAAGACCTGCTTCCTCCAGATATAAGCAAAAACCTTCCCAAAAGAAGCAAGCAGGAGCCTGTAAAGGAGGACGAAATAGACAAGGTCGCAAATGTAGAAAAAAAGCTTCTAGACGTAATCCGAAACGAGGTGCTGTCTCCCAAAGAAAAGATAGAGTGGGAGGACATTGCAGGGCTGCCCCAGGTGAAAATGGCGATAAAGGAAATTGTTGTGTGGCCAATGATGCGCCCAGACATATTCAAAGGGCTCCGAGGCCCCCCTAAGGCGCTTCTTCTGTTTGGGCCTCCCGGGACAGGAAAAACCATGATTGGAAAGTGCATTGCCAGCCAGTCGCAGTCCACGTTCTTTTCGATCAGCGCCTCCTCGCTCACCTCCAAGTGGGTTGGAGAGGGCGAAAAAATGGTTCGGGCGCTCTTTTCGGTGGCAACGGAGCTGGCCCCGTCTGTGATTTTCATTGACGAAATCGACTCGCTTCTCATGCAAAGAACAGAGGGCGAGAACGAAAGCACGCGGCGCATAAAAACAGAGTTTCTTGTGCAGATGGACGGAGCCAAGCAGGGAAAAGACAACGTTCTGGTTATCGGCGCCACAAATCGGCCGCAGGAAATAGACGAGGCAGCCCGAAGAAGGTTTGTGAAGAGGCTGTACGTCCCTCTCCCGGACAAGGAGGGCCGCATGGAGATGGTCAGAAAAATAACAAAAGACATATGCGCGCTCTCCTTTGACGAAATAGACCAGCTTGCAGACTCCCTAGAGGGATACTCTGGGTCAGACATCTACAACTTATGCCGAGAGGCCGCGATGGAGCCGGTCCGGGAGATCAAGGAGCTGGAAAATCTCCACTCTCTCCGGGGAATCCACATAAATGACTTTATTTCGGCAATGAAGCACATACGAAAAAGCGTGTCTGCAAAAGAGCTTGTGTTCTACGAGGAGTGGAACAAAGAGTTTGGCGTCCTTTCTAGATAGCGCAAGCGTGGATAGATAATAATATGCGTGTTTATTCTTGGCAGTATGGCTTCCAGTGAACCGAAGACGCAGGCTGCGAAGAAAACACGTCCTGCTCGCACTGCTGTCCCTCCCTCAGCTTGTAAAGAACCCGCCTGCCCGCATCCGCATGCAGAGGCATGCCCAGGTGCTCAACTGCAAGCACAAGGTCTTCTCCCGTAAGAGTTTTTCTCTTCTCTATCTTGCACAAGTCCTGGGCCTTGCACGTAACAAATGCAATAAACTCTGAAGAGGCTCTCTGCATCATCTCTTTTGCGTCTTTCGATATTTTTGCGTTTTGTGGGATTGCCTTCTTCATTATTCCTGCTACATTTGCCACTGGCAGGAGTCGGTCGCTCTGTTTCATAGCATGGGAATTTGTCGCATATTTAAAGCCCTGGGCGTTTATTTGCTATGCCCTCCTGGATACGCCTGTTTCCGCCCGCCTTTGTGCAGCATCGCATGCTGCGCCGTGCACACGCAATCTTCTGCAGCCCAAAAGTCTCTCCGCTATGCAGAACTGGCGAGGCTTCCGTCTGCATCCTCGCCGCCCTCTCTGCAACGCCCGACGTGCAAAGGACTTTTTGCGCCCAAGCGCATTTCGGCATCTGCAGTGCATAGTGTGATCTTTTTGGAGCTTGGCGGGGCACTTTTCTATAGTTTTCGCTCAATCAACCTGATTTTTAGATTTATATTGCTTTTAAACTATAAATATATGATAGAGTTGCAATTTTATAATGGAAGATATGTCTAAACGCAAAAAAGTGTTTGTTTTGTTATTTATAGCAAGTGTTGTAGGCCTTGGAGTGGCTGTATCCATAGCGTTCTCTGAGAACTTCAAAAAAAGTAATACAGATTTTACTGTTCAAGTAGCAAAACCTCTGTCGGATGATTTTGAGCCTTGCGAAAACCGCGAGAAAGCAGAGAGTGCTCTACAAAAAATTGGCAATGTGTTTAGGGGCACAATCACAACTGAACGCCAAGCAAGCAGGCAGAAGCCAGGCGATTCATGTGCAAACTATTCGGACGCAGTTGTCTACTCCGCGTCCCGCGCGTGCCAAGAGCGGCGCGGGTCATTCCTAGACTTCTTGTGGTCCCTTGGGGGCGGCTTTGCTTTTAAAGCCACGGTCATGCTAAAAATACAAAGGAGTCCGGAAAAATACAAATACTTGTCTAAAATTTCCGACTGGGACAACTCTTTTGTCTCGCAGTTGCTTGATTTTATGGGCAGCCACAGCCCCTTTCTTAAGGACCTACTTAAAATGCACCAAAGTGGAGAGAAGCAAGCTGCAGAAAACTTGAAAATTGACAGGCTGCCAATGGCGAAAGAAAACTGGAAATACGATCTGGACAAAGCCATGCTGTCTAGGTGCAAGATGCGCTGCATGCCTGCGCGCCCCACTTCTGAGTGCTTAACCGCTGCTATACAATCTCTGTTTACTATTCCAGAGGTGTTTACGGATCTTGTCACCATAACTTCTTCCAAGATCAATAGGCTAGAAGAGGCGTGGTCAACTTCAGAGGGCATACAAAAATTCAATCTGATTCGTGAGTCCCGCGGGATTCCGGAGGTTTATTTCCACACGTTCATTCGTGCGATCCATATGTTGTCTGAGGCTGCTTTGGAGACAGAGTTGGGTGACCGATCGGAAAAGAGCCAAGCTTCGCTGAGCAGAATATATGATGACCTTTGTGAAATCCTAGACATTCCTTGTATGGACTCTGTAGAGCACTTGGCAAACACATACCGAATTCTGTATGCCTATATGACGATTCTGTACGAAATATATCCAATGACTTTTATGGACGACAATCTTTTGGGGGTGGGCGTGGTGCTTCCAGACCAATACCTCGAGAGCATTTTCTATGTGCGGACAGAAAAAAACAAAAGCAGTATACAGGCGAATCTCCCATCCAAGTTTGATGTTAAGTCTGATTTTGTTAAAATAGAGCTGTATGCAAGCAAAGATCCTCTGCAGCACATATACTATGTTGATAATGAGAAGCAGTGCCGAGAAGTGGTTATAGTTCCTATTGAAGGCGCCTATGTGATGTGTTGGGAAATAATCGACTATATTTCAGTTCTTCACAAAAAGCCAAAGAGCAACATACACGTGCTTAGCTACAGCCTTGAGGATAAAAAGTGGTCCTACAAAGACCCTGAAACAACCCAGTACTTGAAAGAAAGCCCCGATTCTTCCGAGATTCTTGTGTTCTACTACATAAAGCAGGCTTGCTCTGCAATCGATCCAATAGATCTGTATTTTGTAGGGTTCTTGGAAGCAACGAAACCTTGCAGAGAACCAGACCACATCAGCCTTCCTCTGTTCTTTACCAAGTTGCTAGTTAACTCGATAGCCCTCCTTGATTACAACTTTGTCTCTGGTAAAATTGCGCCAATATCGTCTTTTTCTCAAATCGATGCAGTGTCTCCTTTCCTGTACAGCCCGTCGCAAGACAGAAATGCGTTTGCCTATTATCAGAACAACACAGTCCCAATACGCAGAGAAAACACCGGCGACATTGATATCGACTTGGAAATAGCAAAGTCCTCTCTGGTTAGGGAGAAGACCACCTTTTCTCATGAAAAAGATGTCCGTGTTGAGGGTTTTATATACAAATATCTCACAAGAGTGATGTCCCCTGGGCGGTACTATAACATCTATATGAAAGACCATGCGGAGTTGCGTGGGCCTGGCTATACGACAGACATATACAACAACAGAGTTAAAACAGCCGTTTCAACGGACAAGAATTTTCCCAACATAACTTCCGTCTTTACCATTGATTATGATGAAAAAAACTCTCTCGTTGATGGCTACCTCTCAAGAAATCACATTTTGACGCCCCAGGGCATATTCAATTCGGCTAATCCTCCATCGTATGATAATATGTCTCCAATTTATAAATATATGATCGTGCATCCACGCAAGGGCGATGCTTTTGTCCAAGCAACAGGCGTCTCTGACGCTCTTGTTAAGCTTCTGCTGCACTAATAGGAAAATAAATGAATGCCTGCCAAACACTGTCTTTCTATCACAGACTTCCCCTTCATGAAAGGGCTTTTTCTGGCGCAGCCCATAGCACATGCGCACAAAATTCTGCTATTGTGTGCAGCAAGACGCCGTCGCGCCTGCCAAAATAAAAAACCACACAGGGCGCGCCTCAGAGCTCTGCCAATTTTCAATTTTCAATTTTCAATTTTCAAAATGCAAAATCATCCGCGGGTTTTATTTATTCTCTGATGCTGCATGCAAAAACAATTCCAGGCCACGCCAAATGGCTCTTTCTCCCGCTAGACAAGAGCCGGCTGCCACGCCCGGAGCAGCCCAAGGGCCAAGCTCTGGCTGCGCATGCAGGAAAAACAAAAGGGTTTTCCAGCCTCTGCGTCTCTACTCCTGCTTTACAATTCCGTCCACCCGAAGTATGATAATAGCGCCCTCAATCGCAGACTTCAAGCTCTGCTCTTTCACCAGGATCGACTCGTACACCTCTGAAGGCACAATTTCTCCGGTGTTCCCGTCAACTCCGTACGTGTGCTTCTTCTTGCTGTGGCACGCCTTCAGCTCCAGCATCTTGACGAGCGGCTTTGTGTTTCCGCTGTTTGCTATAAGAGAGGCGGGGATCGCGTGGAGCGCCTCCACCACGGCCGCAAACACCTTTTTCTCCCGCTCTGATAGGCCCTGCGCGGACTCAAGCTCGTGCGCCAGCGCCATCTCAACAGCCCCAGCCCCCAGCACGACTGCGTTCGAGTTGTATGCGTTCCTGGCTATGGCAATTGCGTCCTGCAGGTTTCTCTCCAGCTCGTTGACAATGTCTTTCGAGGGCCCCCTCAGAAGAACCGAGCACGCCTTCGGGCTCTTGCACTTAACAAACTTGCAATACTCCTCCTCTCCGATCCTCTGCACCTCAAACAGCCCTGCCGTTCCCAGCGCCTGCGCGCATGCGTCCTCCGCTCTTGAGAGTATCTGTGCGCCTGTTGCCAGAGCCAGCCTCTGGTTCTCTGACTTCTTTATTCTTCTAATGGCCGATATGTTGTGCTTTTTCAGCAGCGCAATTGCGTGATCGGACACGCCCTTTTCCGATGCCAGCACGTCCGGGCTGCACCTGGCTATCAGCTCGACCATGCGCTCAATCTGCTCCTCCTCCACCTCAAGCGCCCTTCCAAAGGCTTCGCCCGTGTGCATCTCGATGTTCATCTGGTTCTCCCCCTTCCTGTACTCCAGCGGGAAGTCTATCAAAAGCACCTTTGCATTTTCAATGTGCTTCCTCATCGTGTAGTCCAGAAGGCTCTTCTGCACTATTATCCCGTCAAACACCACAGACTCCTCGACACGCCCGCCCGGCACCTTCTCCACGCGGATGTTCTTTATGTCCACGCTCTTGCTCCGTATCATGTTCACCGCCTTTATGGCAATGCTCTCCAGGTCAATAACATACTTCGATATCTTCGTGTTCAGCCCGCTCTTCACAATCTCCTTTATCATGCCCTCGTTCCCCTTTATGTCTATCGAGTGCTTTTTTATTTTGCCCAGAAGAAGCTCCAGCACCTTCTTAAGCACGCTGCACAGAAAAACCGGGTGGTATCCGTTTTTCAGGAGCTCGCTCATGTTTTTGAGTATCTCGGCAGACAAGATCACAACAGACGTGGTCCCATCGCCAACCTCTTCGTTCTGCGTTCTGGAAAGCTCTATCAGAGACTTGATCACGGGGTGCGTCACTTCGATCTCCCGCAGTATGCTGTTCCCGTCGTTGGTCAGCTCTATCGTTCCTATCCGAGTCAGGATCATCTTAATCATCGACTTAGGCCCAATGCAGCTTTTTATTAAGTTGGACAAAAAAATTGATGCTTTTATGTTTTCCTGCTGCACCGAGTGGATATCCTCCTTTTTCAAGACAGTCACTGTTCCTACCTTTCTCTCCATAAGAGCTAAAATTTTTCAAACTTAAATAAAACAAGAATGGAAGCCGTATTGAAAGAAAAGCTTAGCGCCATTGACAGAATCATAGAGAGAATGAAGGAGAAAAAAGAGGTCACCCTGACGGAGGTTTTGAAGGAGGAGATCGAGAGGCTCAAGAAACTGAACAAAGAGTACGAGGAGGTCCTAAACAGGAAGAAAGTCAAAAGCAAGGAGGAAAGCGGGGGAAAAGTGAAATACACGCTCTCCGACGGGTCTGTGTACGTGGTGCACCGAGAGAAAAAGTACAAGTACCTTTATGATGCAAACACATCAATAGTTACATACGAGTTTGGAAACGGGCAAATTGAAAGAACGTTCCCCTTTGGGATCAAGGAAATACGCACGCCCGCAGGCAAAATAGTGATCAAGTCTTCCGAGAAAGAGTACGACGTCATATAAGCACGCAACTGGCAGCACGCTTGCACAGAAGAGAACTGCAGCTGAGCCTTGTCTGCAGGCCTCCCAGCGGTGCATATGCAGCCAGCCTGTGCATATGTGCAAGCAGCGCCCATTAGAATAAAAGTGTATGTGTATAAAAATAAAAACTCTTTTCGTCCGTGTTGGGTTTATTTTTGCATCTGCTCGCCGGAATAAAAAATCTGAACCAAAATTGCATGCGGCAACCCAATACTAATTATTGTTTTGCTTGTTTGAAATTAGCACTTGCACGCTTCTATTTGCTTCCTGGGGGCGAGGCAGCGCTTTTGCGCGCATTGCCCCAGAAAAGGCAAAGCCTGCATTGGCCTGCCTCCTTTTGCAGCTGTTTCAGCGTGCACTGCATGCAGAAGCACGGCTGAAAGAGGGAACTTGCCGAAAACAGAAATGGGCGATGGAAGTCTCTGCATGCGCTCTTAAAGAAGGCGCATGGAGTGCAAGAGTGCAGCCCTACTTCCGCACCATCCAATAGTACAAAATCCTGGCAACCCAGTCCTGCAGAAATGTGGGTAGCAGCGCATAGACGTACGAGTACCTGAACACCCAGGGAAGGTACAGGTGCGTGTCTCCGCGCAAAACAGCCTCGTAAACGCGCTTTGCCACATACCCCCTCTTCAGCGTGTACGGGGACCTTACGCGCTGAAACAGCGGAGTGTCGATTTTGTACGGGTACACCGCCAGAACGGAGCACCCCTCTCGCCGGAAAGACTCTAGAAGCGCGTGCATAAAGCTTTTGCATGCACAGTACATCGAAGTGTTGGGGAACGCAGCTATGCTCAGCACGCTGTTGATGTACACGACCTTTTTGTACGTGCACGTCTTGAGAAGGTCCAGATGCGAGTGCACATTTATTTGCATATACTCCTGCGCCTGCAGGGGCGAAATGCTTTGGAAGGACTTGAAGCCGTGGAACGTGGCGTGGTTCAGTATGAGGACGTCGCAGTAAATGCGGCGCTTGAAGCGCTCCTTAAAGTCGTGCTGGATAAACGCGCAGTGCATAGAAGGCTTTACCTTATCCACCACTGTCACGGCGTGGTTGTTCAGAAGAATGTGCGCAGCAAGAGCTTCCCCCAGTCCGCGCGACCCTCCAGTTATACAGAAATGCATTGAAAATTAAAAACCGAGGCGCTTTTGTATGTTGGGTTGTTGGGGCTTTCGTGGTGTAGTGGTATCACGCATCCTTCACACGGATGAGGTCTCCGGTTCGATCCCGGACGGAAGCATCTTTTTGCTGCACGGCCGTACAAAGCGCAGTCCTGGCTGCGAATGCCGCTCAGCGTGCTGCCTGCTCTTTCGCGCCTGCCTTCCACAAGCCTTGGGCGCTGCACTCCAAAAGATGCACGCTGGGTTTGCGCTTGGCTGGAAGCAGGCGCGAAAGAGCACTTTTTTGCATGTCTTGAAAAAGTATGAAAATATTTCTGCTTTGCGCTTTGGCCTTTAGGCTGGGCAGATTTTTAACTAGTCACATTCGCAGACTTCTATCAGAAAAACTCGGGCGCTGATTTTTAAAAACAGAATGATGGAAAACTGACATTAAGAATAGTTCTATTTCAAAAAAACTTTTAAGCCGAGAATGGACGATATCGAAAAACTTGAATGTTTATACTTGCAAGTGCCTCTACAAGAGCCTGCTCAAGATTTAGAGATGGTAAGCGCTTTGGGCGGAGACAAAGAGCAAAACTCAGTGCCCGGGAATGCATGCCCGGAGGGTTTGAGCTTAAAAAGACTGTTGTTGTCTATAACTAGCTCTATGCTGGGGGCGGGTGTTCTTTTTTTTCACACTGCGATAGCAAAGGGAGGGCTGCTGGCGTTTGGGTTTTCGGTTTGTGTGTCCACCATAGGAATGGTGGCTGTGGCCGAGTGCTCATACAGAGCCCTGAAGGCCCCGGAGATGGCCAACGCCCAGAACACTCCAATGACGTACTCGCAGCTAGTTGGAGCCACTTTCAAAAAAATTGAGATTTGGTTGAAGGCCAGCTTGATTGTTCAAGCGGGCATATCTATTCTAATATACCAGACGCTAATATGGGGCTGGATGGACAGCAACATAGAGCTCATAACAAGAAGCTTTTTGCAGGAGGGAGGCCTGGGAGTTGCGGTGGTGAAGGTCATACTGGCCGTGCCGCTTTTGGCTGTTTTTTTGTACTTTTCGATACTGAAGGAGCCCGGGGACGGAGTTACCATGCAGATAATGTCGATTTCCTCCATGGGCGCTCTTGTGCTTCTCTTGGTTGCAATCCTGTGCATAGTGCACTATTATATGATGCCGGTGTCCACGCAGTCTCTTACTGACCACATACCCCAGCTAGTCAAGGGAAGCAGCCCAACGCTTATTGAGTTCTTAAGCTCGGTGTCAATTATTTACTTTGGCATGAACTCGCTTCAGAACATCCCAATCTACATGAGCGCAGCAAAGCTCGAGAAAAAGCGCAATGTTCTATGGCCGCTTTTGGCTGGAATTGTGATAGTGTACATGGTCTTCTGCTGTATTTCCATAGAAGGGTACTTCTTGGCATCGGCAGCTGGGTTTCCAAAAAAAGGCACAGACATTCTTACGCTCACGTCGAAGATCATGCAAGACTACAGCCACGAGTACAGCGGATATCTTTTGGTGCTGACAGAAGGGCTTGTTGGACTGTTCAAAGCCGCAACCAGCATTGTGCTGATGAACTCTTTCATGTGGCAATGCTACACATACAGAACGCTGGCGATTTCTCTATACATGAGCGCAAAATACACTCCAGACGGGGATGAAAGATTTAACCTCAGCCACCTGTTCAAGAGAGTAATGCCTGAGTGCGTTTCGCGCTTTTGCGTAATAACTCTATTGGATCTGATTCGGAAAATCGGAAACAGCCTGCCTAGGTTCATTAGAAAGACTCTTGACATACAGGAGCGTGCCACATCGCTTTTGGACGAGGAAGAAAGACAGAAGATAAAAGTTGCAGCATACCATGCAAAGCTAAGATGGGTTGTAGGGACACTCATTTTTGTGCTGAACACAGTGGCCGTTATTTTGAAAGTCGATCTGACAATGGTGATTCAGGTATCAGGAGGGCTGATAGCTTCTTTTTTGTCTCTTCTTGTGCCTGCAGTTCTTTTGATGGGACATGGGCACATTAAAAGGTCGACTTCAAAAAGATGGTTCGACTATGTGTCTATTTTTTTAATGATTATAACCTTTTTCACGCTGTCTATATCCTGTATTCTTGATACAGTCAAGAGATTCGCCCAGCCAGAACTGGAAGCCGCAGTCAACAGCACAGCTTCTCCATAAACAAGCAGAGCATTTTCTACTTTTTGTTTCACAAAGGCAGTTTCGCCTCTGCATACTTTTCTTAAATTAAATAGAAAAAGAATGCACAGCCAGTTGCACAAGCGATGCAGCCAGCTTTCTGCCGCGCAGAAACCCAAGAAAACGCGCATTGAACATTTATTCACTTTGTGTGGAGTGCAGGGCTTTTCCAGCTTTGGACAGGCTTTAGAGGCGCAAACACCAAACCAGCATTTGGCTTGAGTGTGCGCGATGCATGCCCGTAGAGGATAGACCAAAAAAATAAAGCGTTCGAAAGCGCAAAAGAAGACAGCACACACATTTCTATTTCTACAAAGTTGAACCTGGTGCTCTATATTTTTATCGCGCCTGCTTGGCTATGGCAGCCTGCCTTGCTGTTTTCTTGTGGCGACAGCTCTGGCGCTCCAGCCCGTCTCTAAGCAGCAGGCGCAGAGCAGGAATTGTTTGTCTTTTTTCACGCTTTTAGAAACAATAGGGAAGCCTGCCAAATTTAAAAGACGCCGAAACAACCTTTCGTGTTGTAAAGTATGTGTGATGCTTGGCTTGCTGTGGATACGTGTGCCGATTTGGAAAAAGAGGCACGGAGCTCTTTGTACAACGTAGGTATGCAAAGCAGAAAGAATGCAATGAGAACAGGTCTACTTTGATGTGTAAATGCGCATATATCAGGAAAAAGGCAGCGCATGAGAAATCGCGGGCTGCTTCTCGTGTGTGGCGAATATATTGAATTATAATATCAAATGCTCATCACGATCTAAAAGCAAATATCAAACCAAACACATATATACACAGATGAAAATATCTGCATGCAAATATTCCAACATTTATATAGTGCTATACTGCTGCTAGGCGCGGCATTTTTCAACGGAATTACGCCAATCTCCAACAACTTGGAAAATGGTTTTACACAATGCAATGCATACACTGACATAACCGGCAGAATACATGGAGATTTTAATCCCCAAAATATATGTATTGTTAGAGACGCAAACCTTGGGAATGAAAGCCAAAATGTGTTAGCACATATAGACGCTTTTAAGAGCCCCCAAGACCCAACAACAGAAATGGAAATTCGATACCGTATTTTGAATGCGAAAGACTTAAGACTAGAAATAGACCAATTGCACAAACAGAATGATTGCATGGCGCCTGAAGCCATACAAAATTCAACAAAAACAATTGTTTTGGATAATTATGATATTTTCTGCGGAGTAAGTTTGAATGACTATAGGGAACCGCTAGACAACGTCATCCCCACCGCCATTGGCGCAGACCATGAGACTGATAAACTCAAACTAAGCCGTGCGTTGCTTTCGATTTTTTCCTCGCTGCCTAAAAGCTATTTGAAAGAAGCAATAACTCATATCATAGCCCGGCACGAGGCCAATGCAAACTACTTTAGATCTCTAAGCAAGATGATAAACGGCTATTGCAACTCCATTGAAATAAACAACGAAAGCCGGGAAAGTACAAAGAAAATAATGTGTACACAAACGGCTGCCATGGTTTATGATGTGGTTAAAAACCATATGATAAGTAGCGTCTATATATTGCTATCAAAGAATCTCGATATCCTAAAAAAGATCAAAGAATTTGACGAGAAGGACCAAGAGTATCTTGCGGTTGTAGCTACACAGTTGAGAACTGAACATGGAATGGTTTACCAGCTTTTTAAAGACTTCGACATTGTTAAAGGCTACATAAATAGAATGTTCCCCACTCAGGATTCCTCCTCTGAAGACGAAAATTATTCAGAAACGGCCTCATTTGAAGCAAAGCTAAGCATACACAATTCAGCTGTAATCAGAAATGACTTTTCTCTGCTAAAATATATAACATCTAAGGTGCTTGAGAATTCTAAAACTAAGAATCTTAATAATTTCAGTGCCGGAATTTCTGTGCTTTTTAGCGAATACTCGACACAAAAAATTGAAAACGAAGTAAAGAAAGTTTGCTCGAACCCACTCAGCAGCATTGAGACAGATTTGGCAAGTCTAGATGTAATTTTTCAGGAGCTAACAAAAATCCTGAAAAAAGAAGATACTTTTGTTATTTTAAAAGACATTGATTCTACAACAAAAAGCACTGAATATGAACTTTTCTTGAAAACATTCAAAAATCTTGAGCAATATATAAAAAGCAAGGAAAAAACTGCAGAAAAGAATGCACTGAAATATAATAACGCCTTGAATATTATATGTAAAGATATGGATGGTGTGTGCGAGTCTGGCCTTCCAAAATTTAGATTGCATTCCATAGGAAATATGAAGACAGAGCTTCCGAATTCAAAAAATCCTATGCACGCTTCAAATGACGCTAATTCATTAGTAAATCCTGCTGGCCTGCCCAATACCGGGTCGAGTTATGAAAGAAGTCTCTCTGAAGCCGACAATGGCTCGGATTTCCAGACGACGGGAGCAATTAACTCACCCGCCACCGAAAGCACTTCTATTTCAACAGCAGAGCCCCGTATCAACAGCAGCGAATCTACTTTAAACATACCTAGACCTTCTGCTGCTTCAGAGCCGGTTACAGAATACGAAGCCGCCTCAAAAGCGGTTACAGAAGATGTCGCTATTTCAGAGCCGGTTACAGAAAATAATACTACTTCAGAGCCGGTTACAGAAAATAATACTACTTTAGAAGCGGTTACAGAAGACGAAGCCGCCTCAAAAGCGGTTACAGAAGACGAAGCTGTTTCAGAAGCGGTTACAGAAGGTAATACTACTTTAGAGCCGGTTACAGAAGGTAAAGTCAATACTGCTTCAGAAGCGGTTACAGAAGACGAAGATGCTTCAGAAGCGGTTACAGAAAATAATACTACTTCAGAAGCGGTTACAGAAGACGAAGCCGCCTCAAAAGCGGTTACAGAAAGTAATACTGCTTCAGAGCCGGTTACAGAATACGAAGCCGCCTCAAAAGCGATTACAGAAGACGAAGCTGCTTCAGAGCCGGTTACAGAAAATAATACTACTTCAGAGCCGGTTACAGAACACGAAGCCGCCTCAAAAGCGGTTACAGAAGATGTCGCTGTTTCAGAAGCGGTTACAGAAGGTAATACTACTTTAGAGCCGGTTACAGAAGGTAAAGTCAATACTGCTTCAGAAGCGGTTACAGAAGACGAAGCCGCCTCAAAAGCGGCTACAGAAAACAATACTACTTCAGAGCCGGTTACAGAAAATGTCGCTGTTTCAGAAGCGGCTACAGAAGATGTCGCTATTTCAGAGCCGGTTACAGAAGACGAAGCTGCTTCAGAGCCGGTTACAGAAAGTAAAGTCAATACTACTTCAGAAGCGGTTACAAAAGATGTCGCTATTTCAGAGCCGGTTACAGAAAGTAAAGTCAATACTACTTCAAAAGCGGTTACAGAAGACGAAGCTACTTCAGAAGCGGTCACAGAAAATGTCGCTGCTTCAGAGCCGGTTACAGAAAGTAAAGTCAATACTACTTCAGAAGCGATTATAGAAGACGAAGCTGCTATAAAGGATAAAGTCACTACGGAAGCTGACCCTCAGACGGAGAATATCAATCCAAAACACAAAATCCACATGGCGAGCAATCCAAATATGCAGGCTAATCCAGAACTATCGAGAATTACTCAAGGCCACAAACTTTCAGATGATCCGAGTGCAAATAAGACAAGAAAAGGCACAGAAGTCGATTTCAAGGCAATCAAAATAAAATCGCACAAAAACAAATCAGATTCCTATGAAGTCATCAATCATATACAAGGCAGTGGCAGTGGCGATGGTGATGATGAACCTGGCGATGATGATGATGCCGCTGGCGACAACAATGACGCTGGCGACAAAGATGAAGCCAAACCAGCTGTGCCCCTCAATGGAAAAACCAAGTCAATTGCAGCAGGGAAAAACTCAGCTAATTTGGGCAAATCCAGAAACAGCAAAGGAAAAAATAGCACAAAAGCATCTACTAACAAGCGTAAGAAAAGCAAACTCGATGCAATGCATTCGTCTGCCGATAGGGTAGCCCCCTTGGCAGCAGTCAGTGCTTTAGGAGCTGCTGCCTATGGCCTTTACCGTAGAATGTAAATGCAAGAAAAGAGCTATGCCGGCTGCAAACTTAGTCTTTTAAGTTAGCGCCACACTTTTTAACAAAGCAAAATCCAATATAGCGTCCAGAGTTTATTCCAACTTTGTAAAATATTGCTAGCGTGTAAGTGCCAGAAATAAATTGTTTTTGTTAGAGTCTTATGCTTTTTCTATACCGTGTGCCAAAACACCAGCCAAATAAATATGATGGATTAATCACACAAATAACGCACTGCAGCCCTGCAGCGTGCATGTCCTCTGCATTGGTGGCTAGCCAGCGTATCCTTTTTGTTGCGCTGCAGTGTTTTGCATAGCTGTGTCTGAAATATGCCTGTTTCTGTCCTCGGGCCCTTGGTATTGCTTGGCAATTTAGCCAGCTGGAAAAGTGTTCAAAGACTATTTTTCTCTTTCAGCTCGTGCAAAAATGAGACACACCGGCCAGACTCGTCCCGTGTATCCACTCGACGGCACAGATGCACAAAGAAGGCGCTGGAAAGCTGCCAATTCGCCTGGCTATACGCATCGGTACGGACAAAGCGCAGTCATTCTGGCGTCTGCTCGCTCGATCATTTAGAAGCGCCATCTGCCATGCAGGCCTTTCTAGATGGCCGCTGCTCTCTTCGCATGCAAATTTCGAGCATATTATTCTTGTTTATTTTTTCGTGATGATTCCCACAGTGCCCTCTTTCATAATTCGGCGTGCGATAAAGAAAGAATCAGCTCGAGACCTGAACGGAATGCAAGAAGTGGCATTGACTGGAAAAATAATCCGAAGAACCAAAAATAGTTCAGTTCTTTTCGACTCCTTCTCGGGAATACGCATACAGACAAACAGTGCAGTCTTGCAGGGGGAAATAGACAAGAGCATTTTTGAGAATTACCCGGTGCACGTGCTGTGCACTCTGGAGCGGATTCCAAAGCTTGCCCTGCATGTAAAGTCTGTCAGGAGGTGCTCTTTTCACGAGGAAATGTACAACACGCTCGAGGGAATTGAGTATTGGAAAAAGGTTCAGTCACAAAAACAACCAAAGTAACTGGGATCAACAAACATTGGGAGAATATAAGCAAAGCCAGGAATAAACAAGCATGCTTGAGAGCGCGCCCTTATACACCAAAGAAAGAGAAAAATCTGACATGGCAGACTTAGAGGTGCTGGGAAGCCTTTCATTTGATCTAAGCATTAATAAGGACGAAAAAATAAAAGAGGCATTTGTTTCGCTCGTGTCAAAGTTAGGCACCAAGGAGTTCATGCTGGAGTACTCGGCTTTGTACAGCAAGATACTAGCCATTCACGAGAGAAGGCGCAACTGCATGTGCTCTGAGCCCGTAGAGTCGCTGTTTTCTTTAGAAATAGAAGAACCTGAGCACAGCACAAACCCACTCGAAACATGTATACTTAATGAAATATCCATAAGCACAGATTATGTAAATAAGCCAGCGTTGTAGAAACTTAGTATTAAGACATAGAAGGCAAATAGAATCAAATAAAAATGAATTGTAAATTTTCAGACACCTTTGCCTTATGCATTTTTTGGCAAACAAAGGCGCGATCAACAGAGTAACTTTTCAGGCTATAAGTTGATAGAGCACAATAAGTTGAGCCTGCCGCGCTTGTGGCGCAGCAAAGACCATGCAGGCACTCTCTGAAGAGGACTTCAGCCTCTCTTGACGCACAGAGGCACAAATGCGCCCAGCTTACCGCGTGGTTTGAATGCGAATTTAGAACCCCCGCAGACATGCTCGGAAAACTAGCATTGCACCAACCCCTGGCCTTTCCCGCCTGGTGCTGGGTGGCACACTTCCTTCTTGCTAGGCAAGGGCGCATTGTTTGTTTTCGAGCCTTCCTGGCTGGACACAG